ATGCCCTTTTTTAATTTTTTTTGCGGATCTTCTGCTCAGAAACTTCTCGGGCAATGTCCGAGTAGGAAATGCAAGGGAAATTCATCCCGGTGTCAAAAGCTGGGATAAAAAGTCTCCTGCTGACACAGAAAGCAGCACTGAAGAGAAGTATCTGCACCCTAAATTCTGTTCACTGACATATTTCTCCAACCCCAGCAGGGAGAGGAGAACACTGAGCTAGGAATGCCTGGAAAAGTGGCTGGCACCCCGACGGATTTGAATTATTAAGAGCACCCCATCAGCAGCTCCTGAGCAGCCTCTGGGACAAGAACTGCCCTGGGAACGATCCCCAGACGTGAATAAATTCGGGACAGTGAGAGAGCTGCTGTGGGAAATGAGGCTGAGTTTGGTGAATAAATTATTGGCTATGAATAATTCACCCCGACCTAGTTGTAAATATTCTGCTCTTATTTAACTCTTCTCTTGGCTTCAGAGAGGCTGCTCATGGGCTTCTTCCCTCCTGCTGCATCCTGGGGTGGGTGAGGAGCCAGTCCAGCTCTGAGATCTCCCCACAGAATCCCAGACTGGTTTGGGCTGGAAGGGACCTTAAAGCTCCTCTCATCCCACCCCCTGCCATGGGCAGGGACACCTTCCACTAGCCCAGGTTGCTCCAAGCCCCATCCAACCTGGCCTTGGACACTCCCAGGGATGGGGCAGCCACAGCTTCTCTGGGCAACCTGTGCCAGGGCCTCACCACCCTCCCAGCCAACAATTCCTTCCCAATATCCCATCTAACTCTGCCTTTTGGCAGTGGGAAGCCATTCTCCCTTGTCCTGTCACTCCAGGCCCTTGTCCAAAGTCCTTCTCCAGCTCTCCTGGAGCCCCTTTAGGCACTGGAAGGGGCTCTCAGGTCTCCCTGGAGCCTTCTCTTCTCCAGGCTGAACAATCCCAACTCTCCCAGCCTTCCCTCCCAGCAGAGCTGCTCCAGCCCTCTGATCATCCTGGGGCCTCCTCTGGACTCTCTCCAGCAGCTCCATGTCCTTGCTGTGCTGTTCCCCAGGGCTGGAGGCAGCTCTGCAGGGGGGTCTCACCTGAGGGGCAGAGGGGCAGAATCCCCCCCTGCCCTGCTGCCCACGCTGGGGGATCAGCCCTGGAGCCTTGGCCGTGTCAGGAGGTGCTGAAGGGAAAAGCAGAGCCCTCCCAATCCCTGCAATGAATCACTCCTGAAACAGGGTGTGCAAAGCCACGTTTGACAGCACTGAGAGAACCCCAAAACAAAGCCAAGAGCCCTGTTGGGCTGTGCCAGCACTGCCCTGCAGCCTCACCAGGGCTTCACCTGGAGCTGCACTTGGACAGAGGGGGAGATGTGTCTGCTGGCAGTGTCATCCTCTCCTGGGAAGAAGAGGACCCTGAAGAGCAGAGGGGCAAGGGTTGGGTCATTCCCTCTCCTAGCACCACACCATTCCAAAGACTGTCACTCCAGGCTCTCAAAAAACCCATCCTTCAACCCCCCTCCTGGAAATACCTGGATCTCTCTGGCACTGCAGTGCCACAGAGATTCCATGGCATCGTGGGCTTTTCAGTCTCCCAAAAGAGAAGGAAGAGGCTCTGTGGTGCCAAGGCTGGAGTCATTCCAGGTGACAGCAGAGCTGGCTGCCATCTGCCCTCCCTGCTACTCCTGAGGGCACACAAACCCCTGGAGCCTTCTCTCTGACAGGCTGAGTCTGTCTGAGAGGCCTCAAAGTCTCAAACATGAGTATAAAAGGGGGGAAAAAACACCCTCGTCTGAAAATGGGCAAACGAGCAAATCTCAAGACACCAGAGTGAAGTCAGAGTGATTTTCTTCCCTCTTTCCATCTGGCTGGGTAGAAGAGACTTTTAAATTCATAGGACTACAGAATCCTTTAGGATGGAGAGCTGTAAGATCATTGAGTCCAACCCCTGACCCAGCACTGCCAAGCCACGTCTAAGCCATGTCCCCAAGTGCCACGTCTATACCTGTAAGGTTTTTAAATCCCTCCAGGGATGGGGGCTGACTGGGGCTGCTGTGCCAGTGCTTGACAAGCCTTTTGGTTAAGAAATTTTTCCTGATGTCCAACCTGAACCTCCCCTGGAACAACCTGAGGCTGTTTCCTCTCCTCCTGTCCCTTGTTAACTGGAAAAAAGACACACACACACACACACACACCCGGCTCCCCCCTCCTGTCAGGGAGTTGCAGAGCCAGAAGGTCCCCCCTGAGCCTCCTTTTCTCAGGCTGAGCCCCCCCAGCTCCCTCAGCTGCTCCTGCTGCTCCAGCCCCTTCCCTAGACACGCTCCAGCCCCTCGATGTCCTCCTTGTAGTGAGTGGCCAGAACAGAACACAGCAAACTGAGTCCCTTCCCCTTTTTTCCCCCACCCCAGTGCAGGATAGAGCTCTCCTGGTGCCCGAGAAGCACATCCAGAGCATCCCAGCCATGCACCTCCAGCAAGCAGCAAGCCAAGCCCACAGAACTGCAGAGGCTGGTCGGGCTGACCAAGGAGAACAGTTGAGAAAGGGGAGCCAGAAAACAGCAGAAAGGAAGGAAAGCAGCCAAGGAGGCTGCCAAGAGGGGAAAATCCAACCAAAACCACGGTGTGCACGGACTGAGAAGGCAACACGGACGAAGACAGGGAGGGAAAACACACAAAACCTTCAAAGAGCACTGGGAAAAGTAGATATGGAAGGAAAAAGGGTGGGTACGTGGGGCAGAAGAGCTTTTGCTGGACAGGACAGTGAGGTTTTTATAAAAACCTTTTGGTTCAGAGGGAGAGAGGAAAAACAGGGCAGAGACAAAGCCCTGGCTGCTGGTGACACTGCTGTCCCTGTGCTGGCTCTGGGTGGGGGGTCTGACCCTGCACTGCCCTCCCCAAGCCTCCCTTGAGCTGTGGGAGGACAACAGGGGTGACACTGGTGGGGGGCACCTGGCAGGAGCAGGGCAGGGGATGCCACGAGCCACACACAGTGTCCCAGGGATTGATGCTCCAGCGTGGCTCCAGGGATGTGCTGCACGTGGAAGTGGAGCAGGGAAGGAGCAAAAACCAGCTCTGTGTCCCCATGAGGGTTTGGTTTTATCATCAGCTGGAAGGAAGGGGGCAGCACAAAGTGCAGCCTTGCACCATGGGGAAAAAAACTCTGGTCTGGTCTGAAGTTTGTATTTCTGTAGTTCAGGGCTCTTTGGTAACGTGTAAGAGGAATGTGATCCTCTCCAAGCTCAGAGAAATGTGGTGTTCAGTCTGGGTTTGAGCTGTTTGACTCGAACCCACGGGCAAAAATTAAAGATGTCTTTAAAAAAGCCTTTTAAGAAGAATCCATTCCCATGTAGCCAAAGTTCTGCGGATTTGTTCTGTAAATCAGACAAATTAAATGAGATACCAGGAAGCTCAGAGGCTGGGGAAGGGTCTGTCTGCTCTGGTGCTTTAGAACAGGGACACCACACTGAAAACCAGCCAAAACCTTATTCAAAATGCCTATTTTAACACATGATCTTTTTAGCCTCTTTTGGTTTTTTTTAATTGTACAAGATTTGAGGGGGGGGGGGGGGGAAATAAGGAGAACTTTATGTTTCTGGTACCACAGAGCAGAGCTGGGTGCCCACCTGCAAACACCTCCTGCTGCTTTCAGCTCCATTCTAAGTCAGTGGAAACTCCCAGGGGCTGAATAATTGGATTTCTGTGGATAATTGGTGTCTCCAGACAGATGTTCATGTATCTACTCATCGATCTGAAGTAGCTGGAACCTGATCTAGTTGGGTTCCTTAAGCTGAGTTCAGTGGCCAGAAACAAATCAAAGGAAATAGAGAAAAGCCACAGCTGCCTCATTTTAAGGGTATGTTTAATTTTCCTTTCATTTTAAATCCCAGCACACTGAGGGAGGATCTTTTAGGAAGCTGTATCTGAATTCTTGCTGCTACATAAAGGCAGAGCCAGATTTGGGTTTAGCTTGAGCCTCTTTAAAAAAAAAATCCGACTTTTATGTGGTCACAGTTCAAAAACACAGCACAGAAGGAGCTGTTGGGATTTGGATCCATTGAACCAACCACAGTGGGGTGCAGGGATTGGATTTGGTGGTGGTGGAATGATGGAAACAGTGAAAAAAAACCCCATTGAGTTGGATGGATTCTCAATTCCACCAATGTGAGGTGGTTATAATCAACCTCCCCTTCTGAAACTGGGAGGTTCAATGTTAAAAGCTTCCAAAGAATCACCCTAAAAATGCAAATTTCCAGCCACCCTGTGAGTTTTTGGGGAGGGCTGCACGAGCCTAAACTGGGTCTGCTCCATAACTTTGGCTCCAAGTGTCTCCACTTTTCCACCGTGTTCCCACCCAGGCAGTGTCTGACAGGCAGCACTTCGGGGATAGAAAAGCATTTTTGGGGGCCAATTAAAAAAGTTTCTCCCAAACAGACAATAAGTCGGAGTGATTTCTTCATCTGACTGTCTGAAATGTTTGCTGTTACAGTAATTTCTTCCACGAGGGTGTTTAAGGAGCCCTTCTGGTGTCGTCTCTGTTTAATGGCTTGTTCACTCCTGCAGCACTGCCTACTCTAATTACTCCAATCTAATTAAGAGGAGGAACAAACAACATACTACTGAAGGGTTAGAGAGACAAAAGAGCTGCAGGAAGATAAATGGGGATCTATTGGCGGGGTAATTTGCTCGTTAGCACCCTCCTTTCCCAAAATTAGCCTAAATGGAAGCAGAATGAGAGAGAAGAGAGAGAAACACTGAGAGAGAGAGAGCAGAGACGTACTTAGAAAGACAAACTGATGTGCCATAGTTTCAAAGACCAGAAAAAGGTTACAAAAATAATATATATATATTAAAAATAATAATAATAATAATAAAAAGCAGGAGATCCCAAATCCAGTCTGCTTGGAAAAGCAGAGGAAGCACCAGAAAAGTCCAGAAGAACAACACCAATGGCACAGAAAACCAGCAGCCACTTCAGCCACGGCACGAAAAGCTGGTGGTTTGGCAGGGGTTGGTGGGGAGGTTGGTCTACCTTATAGGCAACACGAGCAGGGCATTTCTTTCCAAGGCCTAGAGGTGGGGACATGTGTCTCAGCATCTCATACATGTCTGTGTAACTGATGCGACCGCTGGGAGCCACGGGGAGGGAGGCGACAGCAGGACACGGGAATCAAAGCAGACCCGGTGGAGGAGAGAGGGGGAAAAAAAAGGGGGAAAGGGGTGGGGGGAAAAGGCAACACAGTGGAGCAAATGAAAAGGAGGAGAGAGAGAAGGGAAAGCAGACAAGAGAACAGAGATCTGGTTAATCAGATTTCTCAGGAGAACAGAACCAAAACGAAGAGGAGGGTGAAGAGGAAGGTTTTCTTCCGTTGCTGTTGTTCCAGCGCCCAACGTGTGCTCCTGGCGGCAGGGACAGCCCCCGGCAGGGCACGGGGGTCCCTCGGGGGAATGATTGATGGCTCTGCTCTGGGACAGGCGGTGGGGAGGGCTGGGGGTTGGCTGGAGGGCTGGGGGAGGCTCCCCCTTCTCGCCCCCCACCCCAGGCAATCCAGAGGCTGGAGTTCACCATGCCAGGGAGGGCTGGCAGGCAGAGTTATGGGACAGGGAGAGAGACAGGGCACCCAACACGCTCAGCTCTGGGATAAAAGGGGCAGCTTGCCTTCTGGGAACGAGGACTTGGGGTTTTTAGGGAAGCCAGTGGGTTAGGAGGGAAGCAAAAAGCCAATCCTGGTGTGTTTGCTCGGGGACAGACTGGGAGGGCCAAGCCCAGGGTGTGACTCTGCCAACCCTGAGCCAGGTGGGATTTCTGCTCCAGCCTGAGCTCAGCTTTGGCAAAACCAGAGCCCAGCACTCAATTTTCAGGAGGGGGACCTATTTTTCTCCCTTACATTCTGTGGGGCCCCTCTCTCATCAAGCCAACCTCTCTCATCAAAATCCCTGCTGGCTCCTTCCACCCTCCTTCATCCTCTGCTCTCCATCACTGCAGGAAATTCCCTGTGCTTCTCCTGGGCTCATTTCTTGGCCAGACAACTGGTTGTCTCCACCACCAAGGGCAGCTGTCCTGTTCCCAGTCCCAGGGGCTGGGAATGGCAGAGATTTGGGAAAAGGCCCTTAGACCACCTCTTTACTGAGGTCATCTACCTTCAGCACATGGTGGTGGTGGAATAGAACCCTGCCCTGAAAACCAAGGGGTGCAGAAGCAGCAAGGAATTCTCCTCTTTCACCTTTTTCTAAGTGTTAAAATTGGGAACATGACTCTGACAATCTCATTTGGTTTTCCCAGCGAGCTGCCTGCTTATTATAATGTGCAAATCTGTGCTGCCTGTCAGCTGAGGAGATCCAAGGATACTGCAACATGTTATTAATTAAAGTTTAACCCCTGGAAAAGCAGGACTATCATCTCCTCTATCTCAGAAGGGCAACCAAGACCTAAGCAGCCCTATAAATCCCCTTTTCCAAGCAGGACAGCTACAGAGGCAGAACCTGCAGACCAGCCCAGTGTCCTGACGTGGGTCTCAATTCCTGTATGAGGAGGAGGGGGTGGAAGAGAGAACCTACCCGGCCAAAAACATCTATTCCTGTCCTTGGTAACTGATGCAGTTAAAATACCACCCAGCTTTTATAGCCCAGAGCTCATTTAAAGGCTGCTGAGAGACACAAATTCTAATTGGAGCCAATGTCTTCCCCCTGGCTCCTTTCCTGCTCCTGGGCTGGGGGGTCTCCTGCCTCCTCTGCAAAGCTTGGGAGCTCTTAATCCCCAGGCAGGTGTGGAAAACACCTGGGCTGAAGTGGAAGAGAAAATCCCTGCTGGCTGCTTCCTCCCTCCTTCATCCTCTGCTCTCCATCACTGCAGGAGATCCCCTGTGCTTCTCCTTCTCCTGGGCTGATTTCTTGGCCAGATTTGTCCTTAATTCCCCCCCTCTCAGCTCCCAGGCGTGGTACAGCTTCCCTGTGCCATGAACAGGAGGTTTCCCTGGGTGTCCATCAGAGTTTGGGGACATAATTTAGCCACCAAGGCAGCCTGTGAGAAGCTCATCCCTCACCTCTCCCCAGCCCAGGTAACCACCCTGCTGTGCTGCCCAGGCAACCAGTGTCCAGATCCAATGTCTTTTGGGCTCAGGAGAGGGAAGGTTGGTCACTCAGCTGGAGTGACAATGCTACAAAACCCAGACAAAGTGGAATTGCCACTCCTTGGGGTGCCATTTCTCTCCGGGGTGTGAATATATATACATATATATACATATATATATAAAGTGCTGGGATGCTTTTCCCCAACACTTCCCCCCAGAGCCTTCAGGATGGGAGCTGGAGGGTTCACTGTCTCATAAAGCTGCCTGTCTCCAGCCAGTTGGGGTGTGGGAGTAGACAGGGAAGAGATGCATCGAGGACAAAGGAGGCAGTCAATCATTCCTTTTTTCAGGCAAGGGGTTAGTTATGGGACAGTTTCTTTTCTCTACTGCATTTGCACTCGGAAGGGGAGATAAAAAGAAACAAAACCAGGACTAAAGATGCCTCAGGGAGTCTCTGAAGTTCCAAACCTTGTATGCCACCCTATGAGGGCACTTCTTTCCTAAGCCCAGGGGTGGAGCAATTACACGTAACAAATTGTACATATCCTTATAATGAATCCGGCAACTGGAAGGGAAACGTCACAGGTTAGGACAGCAAAAACCAGGAGCAATCAGCTTTTCCCCGGGAAAACAGGAGGAGTTGGAAGGGCAAAACCTGCTGTAAAGGAAGGTTAGTCCAGCAAAAACTGGGCTTGTGAGGAAGGAGCAACTTTAACACAGAGAGAGAGAGAGAGAGAACTTCCAGCTGCTCATCAAACTTTATATCCTTGGATTTTCTTCCGTGCAGGGCTTTCCAACCACTTGGTTCCCCTTATCACTAATGTTTTGGTTCCCTTTATCACTAATGTTTTGGTTCCCTTTATCACTAATGTTTTGGTTCCCTTTATCACTAATGTTTTGGTTCCCTTTGTCACTAATGTTTTGGTTCCCTTTATCACTAATGTTCTGGTTCCCTTTATTTAATGCTTTAGTTCCCTGTGCCTGAGCATCTCCCTCCAGCCTCTCCTCACCACCCCCCAGCCAACCCAGAGCCTGCAGCACCCAAAGAACCTCTTCAATGGGTTATTCCTGGGATTCAGAAGAGCTTGGGAAGCTTTCCCTTCCACTGTTCCCTCCCACACAACCCCAGCAAGGCTGTTCTCTGCTTCAGGGGCACTGAGCAAATCACTGCAAGTCCAGAAATTCTCCTCTCAAAGGTTGACTTGGCCATTTGCACTGGGAAAATCCCAATATTGTTCCCAGCAGGTGGAATCAGACACCTCACAGTAGCTTTCTGGTCACTCTCATTAACTCCCAACAATATTTCCAGCTAATTTAACGGCAGGATTCGATTTCTTCACCTTTTGCAAGTAACCAAACCACAGGCAAAAGGAGCTGAGCCTCCCAATTACCTCTGAAGGAAAACTGAGATGATTTGGCTTCGCTGTGTTTATTTTGGTACTTCATATAAAGAGGGCTGGAATATTTTGGAATATCTCCTTCAGTATTACAGCTTTTCTGGACGGGGAAAAATTAAGGTCTATTCAAAGCCTTCCCAAGCCACTCAAAACTATTAATTCAGGAACAGAGCAAATGGAACTGTGCAAGTCTTGGCTGGAGGCCTAAACGTGGTTATAAAAAGTATATTGGCTTAACCGAGTCAAGAAGTTGAGTTGACTTTACCTCCAATTTTGGAACGATTTTGTAAAGTCAGGGTGTAGAAATGACGTCTGCCCCGTTCCCTGAGCTCTCTGAGAGCTCCTGCAAGGCTTGAAAACCAGCAGATGTTTTGCATTGGAAAGCACAAAATGAGGACAATCCGGGATTCTTTCCCAGGTCTGTGGAATCATGGAATGGTTTGGGGTGGAAGGGACCTCAAAGCCCATCTCATTCCAGCCCCCCAACCTGCCACGATCCCAGGTTGCTCCGACCTGGCCTTGGACACTTCCAGGGCTGGGGCAGCCACAGCCTCTTGTTTAAATCTGATTTTGTTTATTTTCCTCAGCATCCTTTTATCCCAGGAAGCCAAGAGAAAGCTCTCCCTTGGCAGCCCCTGCACCTCCTCCTCCCCACTGAAGGTGCTTCCAGCAGCATCTCCCTCTTTGGGACAACTCCTGGGAATGGGATGGCCAGACCAGTATTCCCAGTATCTCTAAGGGGTGTGCACTGGGAAGGTTTAAGAGAGATAAAGTGCTCACTTTATATACATTGAACACATTAAAGCTCTTAGAAATCCAATTTCCTTTGGTTTTGCCCAGTTCATGCTTAAATCCTGTGTTTTCACTCCTTTCCTGATTAACTCTCAGCCCCCCCAAACCACCCTGGATTCCCTTATTTCTCTCTCTCTCTCCTTTTCTTTGAGCCCAAGGCTTTTACCACCCCTAAATCCAACAGTTTCCCCATACTTACCCCTCCAGAGTGTGACACATCTGGAAAAACAGCTGCTAAATGCCTTTTAAAATTCCTTTTGAATGCTTTTCCCCAGAAAAGTTTACAGAAAGTTGGAATTTGTAACAAAACCAAAGGTGATACGAGAAATAGAGCTGTAAATACGCATTAAGTCTATGTTTAAAATATTATCTCTATAACAAAAATATAACAACACTTGTGCTTTTTAACCATGCAGCATCTTTCATGGAAGGATCTTAATCTGTGGGAAGTGGAGAAACACTGTAATTCCCTTTTTTTTGGGACAAAGAGGAAACATTGAGAGAGGTGATCAGTGAGTGACCAATTCAGCCCAAATCACAGAATCATCAAACCACAGAATGATATAAGTTGGGAAAAAAACCCTCTGAGATCAGAAAGATCAGGAAGATCTTAGATCAGAATGGTGAAAAAATTAATTCTGGCCTTAAACTGCGAAGGGCTTTTAAATTGTGGGAATTTTAGTCCCACTTCTGAAAATGTCAGTGATTTCAGTGGAACTGTTCACACTCTGCCAGCATCAATAACATCCCAGCAGAGCATTAAAGGGAACAAGGTTAGAGAAAAGCAGAAAATTGGATGTTAATAAATGACATATTCTGCATTAACAGCTCGGCAAGTGAAAAGGTTTGGCCCCTGAGTGACTCACAAAATGTGAAGTCTCTGCTCGGAGTTAATGGAGCGAGAAATCTCTCTGTAAACTTCATATTTGTGCCTCTGATGGGTGGAAAGTTCCTGAACACAGAAACATTAAAAAAACCCCACATTTACTCTCATTTTTTCCCTTGCAGGTGTGTTACTCCTCCCACAGACCTTCGGCAGAGCCAAGGCTATTTCTTAAGGAGCAAACAGGCACTCCCAAGTTTTCAGTCTCATTAAGAGACAGGATTGGATTTAAAAAAGGAGGAAAAACCCCCCTCCTTTTTAGTGCCTGCCAAATACCCACAAAGGATTGTCTGTGTTCCAGAGCACGTGCTGGTGAAAACCTGCTTGGAGATGACAAGCTGTGAGTAAATGTGGGGTATATTCAGGCTGGGAGCAGGGATGGCTTTGAGGTGGTTAAAATCACCCACAGCTCAGAGAAATGCAGGCATTTTGGGGCAGGTTTGCATTTAAAGTTGCCCTAAATCATTTAAACTGAGGTTTTGAAGCAGTTTAATTGCATCCTAGCAGGGAGTTTGAGCTGCTGATTATACAAACACTTTTCTGCATCTGTCTCAGCTGAAGGGGGAAAAAAAAAGAGGAGGGGAAAGATTGGAGGAGCTGGAGGAATTCAAAATACAGAGGAGATTCATTGCAAAGTAGCTCATGGGGAGGCAAATGGAGAAAAATTAGTAGAGGTTTAAATTAAAAAATAAAAGTCTCCCAACAGGCAAATTCTCTGGGTGCAGAATATCAAGGAAATTCCTGTGACAGAGCATCTAGAAATGAGAATACCACAGTCCCCAGGGCTGATGGGCAGCAGCTCCTTGTGGGCAGTGCAGAAAAGCAATATATTAAATCAAGCAATATATTAAGTCAGTCTTGCTCTAGAAGTGGTCACAGGTCAGGGCCATTCCCTCAAATTTAAAAAATTCCTTAAAATCCTTTCTTTGTTAACCCTGGGATCCATCCCAAACCTGTGCCACGGGTGTGAAACTTTCCCTTTGAGTAAGGAAAGCAAAGAGATAATACCCACAAACTAAACCCTCCCCTGTGTGCAGGAACCATGCCCCTCCTTGAACACACCCAAACATCAGGAATTTTCTCAGAGGCTCGTTGGGAACCGAAAATGCTTCCAAACTTTGGCTCGTTTCCTTCTGATTATTTCACATCTCATGTTTCAACTGCGAGTCTAAAAGCTGAAATATCATTTAGAAGATCAAAGTTGCCTCGTAAAGTTCGATGTCATTAGAAGGGGGCTTCCAAGGGCAGAAACGTTGGGATTAATGAGAAATGGCTGCTTTAAAAAAATGCCATGTTTTCAGCAGGAACACCCTGCTGGGGAGTGGGTGGGCAGAGGCAGGTGACGGAGTCGGAGCCTGCAGGACTTGACTCAGATGTGACACATCCTCTGCCGTGGCCTGAGGGATCTGCACAGGGTTTGGGAAACCATTAAGGTGGTTCTGAGCCAGAGAACCCCTGCACAAATGAGGGGTGACGGGGCAGAGCTTCCCCCACCACCTCAAAGCGCAGAGATCTGCGTGATCTCCAAACTGGGGTGCAGAAACCAAAGGCAATGAATGAACAGCTTTTCTACTTGGTCATTTGGATTTCCCCTGGTAATTTTTGGCTGTGTGGGGAGGGGGTGGGTTTTGCTCTCATGGTTTGTTGGGTTGTGTCTGTTTGAAGGAAACTCCCTTTTAACAACATCAGGTTTGTTCATCTCCACTGCAGTTGAAGCTTTTACCACCAGTGTCACCTTGGAGTTGTTTCCTTCCGGAGCTGTAACTCCTTAAAAGAGGCTGTGTGTGTGTACAGGTACAATATTTACACCCCAGTGTGTCTGTCTGTCCCCCAGCAGGGTCAGTGTGTACGTACCAGGCAGCGGGGTCGTACTCAGCCCACACACGGACAAACTCATCCAAGTGGTGAGGCCCCAGGATGGAGGAGTCCCTTGTCAGGTATTCAAAGTTGTCCATGATCACAGCCACAAACAGGTTCAACATCTGCAGAGAGGGAGCAAGGATGCAGTCAGGGAAGGGGGAAGGAAACGGAAGAAAAAGGAAAGGGAAAGGGTAAAGAGAGAAGAGAAAAGAGAAAAGGGAAAGGGGAGAAGGGAGAAAAGAAAAGAGAAGGAGGGAAGGGAAGGAGAAGGAGAAGGAGAAGGAGAAGGAGAAGGAGAAGGAGAAGGAGAAGGAGAAGGAGAAGGAGAAGGAGAAAGAGAAGGAGAAGGAGAAGGGAGAAGGGAGAAGGGAAGAAGAAAGGAAGAAGAAGGGAGGGAGGAAGGGAAGAAGAAAGGAAGAAGGGAAGGGGGAAGGAAAGAAGAAGGGAAGAAAAAGGGAAGGGGGAGAGAAGAAGAAGGGAAGGGGGAGAGGAAGAAGAAGGGAAGGGAGAAGGCAAGAAGAAGGGAAGAAAAAGGGAATGGGGAAGGGAAGAAGAAGGGAAGGGGAGAGGGAAGAAAATGTAAAGGGGAAGAGAAAAGGAAAGGGAAAAGGGGGTAAGGGGGAAAAGGAGAAAAAAAGGAAAGGGAAAAGAGAAGAAAAAGGAAAGAGAAGAAAAAGGAAAGGGTAGAAAAAAATGAAAGGGGAAAGGGGAGAAAAAAGGAAAGGGGAGAAAAAATGAAAGGGGAAAGGAGAGAAAAAAGGAAAGGGGAGAAAAAAAAGGAAAAGGAAAAGGAAAAGGAAAAGCTGGAAGGGGAGCAGGCATGATTCCCTTAACTGGATGTGTACTTCCTTCAAGAAGCAGCCCAACCTCAGAGAATAAACTCTCCAAACAGAGCCCTGGGTCCTTGGGGTGCTGCTGCTGCTCCTCCCCTGCACACACTGCAGGGCCCTTTGCCAAGGATTTTGACTGGGTGCTTTTCCAGGTCCCAGTGGCTGGTTCTGCCCTCCAGTGTGACCCACCCCAGCACCCTGAGGAGTCAGCCCCTCTCCCTGCCCCTCTCCCTGCCCCTCCCTCACCCCACACCAGCCCAGAGCAGCACAGGGGCTGCAGCAGCTGCTTCTCCAAGCAGACCTGGGAACTCTTCCAGCACTTCCACATGGAGACCAGAACAGCAAGAAGAAAACCCATCCTTCAGCCTAAATGTGCTATTTTAGACTCATAACAATTGAAACCTTCCAAGATCCCCAGAAAGCTGAGGAGCAGGACACACAGAGCGCTCCTGTCCCTGATGGCCACTAACCCAGAGCCTGGCAAACACCTCTGGCATAGAAAGGTTCTGCTCTTATTAAAGCCAAGGGAAGAATCACAAGGATTTCAATGGGAAAAGATCAAGCTGCAGCCAGCAGAGTGGGAAAGCAGGAGAGAAGAGATGCTCCTGGGCCAGATAAAAAGACCTGATGGGCACAAGGCTCCTTTCTGCCTCTCTCCTGTCTTCTGCAGGGAGGCTGAGCTGCTGCTGTCAGTGCCGTGCTGGGCAGGGAGGGCTGTGGCCAAGCAGCCTGTCAGCACAATTAAACTCAATGTGGGGCACAATTAAATTGAATATGGATGTCATTAAAAGAAAATCAGGCAGTGGAATTTGGGCTTTGTGCAGTTTAAAGGAATTCATATCCCCGTGTGATCTGGAGGGAGGAGGGGTCTTGGCTCTTGCTGGGATGCACCAGTACAGACGAGCTCAGCCTGTAATGAATCACCACATCAGCACCAAAGCTGATCAGACACTCCCCAGAGCTTTAGTCCATGTATTTTTACAGAGTCACAGAATGTGCTGAGGTGGAAGGGACCCACAAGGATCATCCAGTCCAACCCTCAGCCCTGCACAGGATCATTCCCAAGAGTCACACCCTGTGCCCCAGAGGATCAGCCAAACCCTCCTGGAGCTCTGGCAGCCTTGGGGCTGTGCCCACTGCCCTGGGGAGCCTGGGCAGTGCCAGCTACTCTCTGGGGGAAGAACCTTTGCCTGGGATCCAAGCTGAGCCTGCCCTGACACAGCTCCAGCCATTCCCTGGGTGCTGTCCCTGGTCCCCCCAGAGCAGAGCTCAGTCCCTGCCCCTCCTCTGCCCCTCCCCAGGAAGCTGGAACTGCCATGAGCTCTGCCCTCAGTCTCCTCTTCTCCAGCTGAACACCCCAAGTGCCCTCAGTGTCCTCCCACGGCTTCAAATCAAGGCCCTTCCCCATCCTCATTGCCTCCTTTGGACACTCTCCAATGGCTCAAGATCTTCCTTCCTTTGTGTCCCCCCAAACTGCCCCAATGTTGAGGTGAGGCCACCCCAGGGCAGAGCAGAGGGGACAATCCCCTCCTTGGTGCCCCCCAGGACAGGGATGTCCCTCCTGGCTGCCAGGGCACTGCTGACTCAGGGCCAAGTGGCCACTGACCACAACCCCCAGGGCCCTTTCCTGGCACTGCCTTCCAGCCTCTCATTCCCAGTCTGTCTGTACATCCAGGGCTGCCCCATCCCAGGAGCAGAATCTGGCACTTGTTGAACTTCCTCTGGTGTTTTAAGACCCCCAGCAAGGCTTCTGCCCCTGCAGTGTGTGAATTCACTCCTGTGTGAGGCTCATCAGCTCCAACATCATCAAACAGCTCTGGTGGCTTTGGGCAACCACGAGGGTCCTTCGTGTCCCCCCTCCGTGGGTGTTTGTGCCCCTGTGCCACAGCCCAGACAAGCCCCAGCATCTTGGAGTCCCCATGCAGGGATGGGGATGCCCAAACCAGCTCTGAATGAGCTGCTCAAAGGCTGCAAGAACTCCAGCTGCATCAGCAGGGCTCACTCCTGTCCTGCAGGTACCTGACACATGGCACAGTGTCCCCAGAGCATCCCGAGACAGCAGAACTTCTGAGAGTTTGCCCCTTGATCCCAAATCCCTTCCCACTGCTCCCAGCTCCAGCCACGGCTCGGTAAAGTTCCCCCTTCCCTGCCTACAGCTGTTTCTAAAGTTTCCTGGACATTCTTAACTTCCAATTCGTATTTTCACTATAAATTTCAATTGATCTTTTTCTCTGTCCCTTATATTCTTAGCTTTCAATTTATATTTTTCATAATAGATTTCAATTTATATTTCTCAACGTGGATTTCAATTTATCTTATTTTTCTCTCCCGCAAATTACAGGGGGGAAAATTATGTCGAGCTGCACGTCCACACAGAGCCAGAAACATCACTGGAAACCAAATACATTATCCAATTTCCCCTCAATCTATGGCATATCATTGAGAAAACCATAGAAAAAAGTGCTCTCCTGGCAAGGCTGGGGCTCTGCAAAGCTTGTGGGGAACCACATGGTCAAGTGCTGAATGCATTTTAAGGGATGAGTTACAGCCCAATCCAGCTGCTTGGCTTGCCACTGCCTATTTTTGGAACTTTTACTGCTCACAAGGGCTCTCCCCTCTGCTGGTCCAGCATCCAGGGGTTTTTCCAGGAGCTCTGACCCAGGGACAGAGCTGCTTTTGCACAGCTCCAGTTCTGCTGCTACATTTTGGCCGGGATGGCTGATCCAGCCAGGGAGGGCTCTGGGGGGGGTGTGATGTTTGTTGTTGGGGTTTTTTTTAAACAAAAAGCTTGAAAATAACACTGAGAACGTCTGATGTCGGGTTAGGGATTTGCACAAGGGAAAAAAATCTGGTTTTAAAACTCAAGAGTGCTGAAGGAATCACTAAGTGGAGCATTAACTTCGTGTAAGCTTTCAGGGCTCCAGGTTTTTTTAATCTATGCAGGAGAAATAATCCACGGGGTGTCAAAGGAGCAACAGCAGTGGGACAAAGGATGCCAGTGGGGGCTATTGAAGTTGGTGTGTCTACATCCAGCTCCTTTTCCTGGTGGAAGGGTTCTGAGGAGAGCAGGATTAGCTGCACAAAGCAGCCAATCTGCTGTTTGAGAGCAAACCTGGGGCAGCTCGAGACGCTGCTTTTGGGTCCATTTCAGAGCCTTCATCTCTTCCTGCTTGAAGCTTAATTGGGTCCCTGTCCCTGGTTTTCCATTCCTCTGTCCCCAGTGGTGCTGGAAAGGGAACAAACCCCCAGGGGCAGAGGGATGTTTGTGGATGTGCCAGTGCTCAGGGAGGGCACTGGCACCTCTTAAAGCACCTCTCAAAGCACGGGCACGACCCAAGCACTGAACACTCCCATGTCTAAAAGCTTTTCTGGCAGCAGCAAATGATTATTGCATTTCTTTGACCAACAAAACAGAACACAGAGCATCAAATGAGTGTGATGCTCCCAGCAAGAGCTTCTGAACCAGTGTTGTCTCACCCTGCCCTCCCCAGTTCCCTTCTTCAAAGGCCTGTGTTACAAATCAAGACAAAACCGATTAGTGCTTAATTCCAGATATTAGACCCCCCCTGTGAGAAGAAAGATAAATCCCTTCCCTTTAAACTAATGACTAAATGATCTCTTTGGGGATTAAAGGGATTTTATCACCAGGATGGTAAATGGGGTTTAGCAAAGCTGACTGGTGGTGTTGGATAAATTATAATTAGGGAGGAGGAGGAGGAGGTAAAGGGGTGGGGAGTATTTGGGGGGATCCACCACAGCACCCCCACTTTGGGAGGGATCAGGACCAACTTACCAGGAAGGAGCAGAGGAAGATGAAGGACACGAAGTAGAAATAGGCAAAATCACTGCCACATTCCTTCTTGGTGAGGCCAGAGAGGGGATCACAGGCTCTGTTGCTCAAGCAGGACAACATGATCTCGTGCCAGGCTTCCCCCGTGGCACTCCTGGGGATGGGAGGGCAGAAGTGAGTTTATCCACCCCCTTCCCATTACAGACCCCAGGGGCAGCCACCTCGCAGTGTTACTGTGCCTAATTAACTAAATTAATTAGGTGGAAGGTTGTGTCCAGGTGGAGAGACTGTATTTACACTGGGAATTTGAATTACCAGCCTGCTGATGTGGAAAGAAAGGAGAATAACATTTCCTTCCATCACAAGGGGGGTAAAAGAAGCCAGACAGGCTGAGGTAGGCTAAAAGCTTTATTGCTTTTATGGAGAATAAAACCAGATTGATTTTAACATGTCCAGTGCAAATCTAAGTAAACAGAGTTTAGATTGTTCCCTTTTGAAGCAGCCAAACACTTCTGTCCTAGTGCTGGCTCTAAACCCAGTGGAGATGATGGGAAATGAAATCAGGCTTCTCCACTTGAGTCTCTTATTTTCTTTATCAGGCAGATAAATTCCAGCACGGTCTGGTTGGTCACAGTGCCATGAATCTCTTTTTCATGCCAGTCTCCTGGGTGTTTTCATCATTTCCCTCCTCCCCCTCTAACTTCTGCTGCTGAGAAAAACAGCCAAAAGGAAAAGTTCTGGAGTCCCAAAGGGTTTGTCCTCAAAATAAACCACCCCCTGCAATGGCTTGGATGTCAGGGGATCTCCACATATCAGAGTAATCTGATTCCTTCCTCATCCCAATCCTGCTGCCCCTCAGTCCCACTGTGGCCTGTGAAGGGACCACGAGGTCTGGCCACGAGACTGAGTAATTATCCAATTTTATTAAAATGCAGGGCTTTGAGCTGAGTGATTATTCTGAGCTAGAGAGGGCTAATTTCATTTCCATCTGGCTTCGCAGAAACTATGGAAACCAAATCCCAGGCAAGAGATCCAGTTACAAGCTCCACATAATCTGCAGAGCTGGGGTTAACTGGGGGGGGTTTCCACACCCCCCCTCCAAACTGCCCTGAGCTGGAGCAGGACCCAAACTTCAGTTTTGACAGGTCTGAAAATGAAAATCTTCGGTGAAAAATTAATTGCTTGGGTTTGAATTCGAAAATGCTTCATTTCCTTGCAGAATGAACCCAGAGGGAAACACTCACACTCCGAAGCAGAGGCAGGGGGTTGGTGGATGAAGTGTTAAAATGACCAATATGAATGATTACCAAAAAAAAAAAAAAAAAAAAAAGGAAAAAACCCCAAGCTTCATGGCAGGAAACCCATCAATCAGTTATATGGGGGGGACTGTCCTATATTAAGCTTCTGCCTGAGCTGCCAGGGGGTGTCACAGCCCTGGGTGACACGCTGTGGAGATGATGATGTGTCGACAGATCCGCCGAGGAGGAGGAAGCAGGAATGGCTGCTTTACTCAGATACCTTTCCCAGAGGATGCCCAAGGCTCAGCAGCCAAACAGAGACTTTTTTTCCTGCTCACATGCAAGTCAGGTGGTGTTTTATTACCCCCTTCTTACCTGAACAGAAGCATCAGGGCTTGGAGGAAGGTGCGGAAGTTGTTGTGCCGATTAATGGAGGTTTCGTCATCTAATGCAATGTTCCCAAATACCTGCCATGGGAAAGAGAAGGGATTCAGGCCAAACACACCCTCCCATGGATGTTGTCAGGAAAGGCGGATCAAGTGGAGTCGAGTAAAAAGGCAGGGAAGTAATTTGTTCTGGTGTGAGGGATCTCAAAAGCTAAAATAATTTCTGTGCTGAAGAGGGCGATAAAAATATGTTGTGGAGGTCAAATGGGGGAAAACACCAGGTTACTGTGCTTTGTGTTCACACAGGACCTTTCCAACAGTGCAGCTCCATCCCAGGCCAAAACACTTTAGGATTTCTTCTCAGAAAAGGGCAGTGTCTGGGCTGCTCCCTGTCTCAGCCTCTTGATGTGTCCACAGCCAGGGGAAGGGACATCTCTTCCCATGGGAGACATGGATGCCCATCCTGCTGCTGGAAATGCAGTGGTACAGACTCATCCCCACAGCTGGTGTGTCTGCTCACTCTCTTTGTACACCCAGGACCATGTTCAACTTAAAACATGACAATAAGAGTACAAAAAGCGGCCCTTTTTTCCACTTCAAATTTCCCTGACACCAGACAAGAAAAGCCTTTTGCCTCATGCTGAGCCAGCTGAGAAGGCGATAACCCAGCTGCTCCCTGAACAAACCCAGGCTGAGTGTGGGCAGAAGGAGAGCCAAATGTTTTACCTGCATGCCAATAATGGCATAGATGAAGAAGAGCATTGCAATGAGGAGACACACATAAGGCAAGGCCTGTGGGAAAGGAGAAGGTGGTGTTAATGACAGCAAAGGCACAGCACCCATGAACATTTAATCCGTGGGCAGGACTGTGTTTTGTGGCATTTGTCCTTCAAGTGAAGGAGCTGGGAGGAGAATGTGAACAGCTCTGACAACAACACCCCTGGAGTCACAAATTCATCAATCCCAGAACAGCCAGGGCTTTCCAAAGGCTCTCTGTATATCCTTGCAAGCAGGGAAAACACAACCCAAAGCTTCCCAGGGAGCACTGGAACTACCAGCAGGCCCTGGCACTTTCTGTGCATAATTGTATGAATGTTAATTTTTAATGACCTTGCTGTAAATGTAGCCTGAGAAAAAAAACATATCCATCCCAGAAACGAGTTGCTGCTCTGAAACAGGCACAGATTGCAGTCCCAGGAGGACAAAAAGCTTCTGAGTTTTACCAAGAAATCAGTGGAGGCTGCGATGTAATTATGTCACCCAAGCTGAGAGTGATAGCTGCTTTCCACTTGGGCTAAACAAATGGGTAATTAATGCTTCTTAATTGGTAATAGCTGAAAAAAAGGAGAAGTCTTGCCATAGGATTAGCCCATGTGGTGCTGGGGGCAGGAGAGGGGTTATACAGCCATGGGGGCCCAGTGGGAATCACAGAATCATAAAATATCCTGAGTTGGAAGGGACCCACAAGGATCATTCAATCCAACTCCTGGACCTGCACAGACACCCCAACAATCCCACCCTGTCCCTAAGAGGATCATCCAAACCCTCCTGGAGCTCTGGCAGCCTTGGGGCTGTGCCCACTGCCCTGGGGAGCCTGGTCAGTGCCCAACCACCCTCTGGGGGAAGAACCTTTGCCTGAGATCCAACCTGACCCTGCCCTGACACAGCTCCAGCCATTCCCTGGGTGCTGTCCCTGGTCCCCCCAGAGCAGAGCTCAGTTCCTGCCCCTCCTCTGCCCCTGCCCAGGAAGGTGGAACTGCCATGAGCTCTGCCCTCAGTCTCCTCTTCTCCAGCTGAACACCCCAAGTGCCCTCAGCCACTCCTCCTGTGGCCCCTCCAGACCCTTCACCATCCTCATGTCCCTCCCTTGGACACTTGCCAACAGCTTTAGATCTTTTTTTTACATTGTGTCCTCCCAAAACTGACCCCAGCACTTGAGGTGAGGCTGCCCCAGGGCAGAGCAGAGCAGGACAATTCCCTCCCTTGCCTGGCCAGTGCTGATGCCCCCCCTGATGCCCTTGATGTCCCCCAGGGGCAAAACCTGAAGGAACCCTGGGGCAAAAGGCTGATGTGGTTTCCGCTGGACACCTTTGCACAAGGATCAAAGACTGAGAGCTCAGCTGTGGGGGACAGACAGACAGACAAACAGCTGCCCAGGCAGTGCAGGAGTGTCCCGTCTCCATTTCAGGGCAGCTCTCTGCACACACCCTTGGAAAGGGCCAGGGCTGAGCCCCTCTGCCAAGATCCAGCCAAGGCTACACAGTCCAAGGACACTCTGCTGAGTGGGAACATCTGCCTGGCAGGGACTGGAGCTCTGCCCTTGTGTTAGAGCCTGGTATCAGTCTTGATTTCCCATTATATGTTCTCCTCTCTGCCTTCCAATACTTGAGCAAGGCCCATAACCAGAGTTAAAGCTCAAAACAATGCAGAAACGGGCTGCAAAACAAAAATAAGCAGCTTTGGGGCGTGTGGGCTCTTATTTAGGTGTGGAAAAGAGCTGGCTCACAGCTAAGCATGGACTGAAGCAGTGCTCTGCTATAAGACAGCTGGTTTAGGGTCACTTGGAGCAGAAGTCGCCCCTGGGCCTCAACGTGCTGAGTCTTGCTGAGAGGGAAGGGAAACCAGGCCAAGCAACTGCCTGCACTTCAGAACAAAACCTCATCTTTTTAAAATCCTCCACATCATCAAAGCCCAGCCCTGTGTTCTGCAGCTCCCCAGTTGGTGTCACCAAACCCCAGTGGTTTGGGGTTTGCCTCTGCCACCTTCTACCACGCCCAAATCCTGGTGAAAGCAATTTGACCTCCCACTCGCTGCAGGCAAATAACAGTCACCAGGGCACCACTTCCTTATGCAAATGCTTGAGCATCAAGGCTTTGCCACGGGGATTTTGGGGTGGCTTCAAGGGCAACCTGAGCTCTGTGCACCCACTGGAATCTGCACCAGCAGCCTTTTGGACTCATCTTCCAAAATGCAGCGTTCAGGGGCTGGTCAGTGCTACCCAGTTTGCTTCCCTGCAGAATCAATATTCCTGTGATGGAATGGTGGTGCAGAGGGAATTCCCTCTGTTTGATCCCCAGCGGAGGAGGCTGCGGATGCGCCAAGCGCGACCCACGTCTCTCAAACTCACCTTAAAGGACTGCACGAATGTCCAGAGCAGGATTCGGATGGTGTAGCCCTGGCGGAGGAGTTTGATGAGTCTGGCTGCCCTGAAGAGCCTCAGGAAGCTGAGGTTGATGAAGTTGTCCTGCGGAAAGTAAAGGTTTTGTGTCCTTCAGAAATTAACGCGCTCGGAAACCACAGCCCGCGAAAAAAGAAATTAAAATTACCAGCTTCACGATCTAAGCAGCAAATCGGCCACCAGAAAACCTTCCAAAAGAAACATTCGTCAGTGCAGATCACTCCACATGCAGCAAGAATGAGAAAATCCCTCTCCACAAGAGCCCTCCCCTCTGCTACTGGGTCAATGACAGAAAAGGCCCTTTCACGCTGTCCATGGAGGTCAGATTTGCTTTGAGAAAGGCAGATTTTTCTCCCCCATAAAGACTCGGGGAGAGGGAATGGTGCCATAGTTTCATTTTGTAAGGAATGAGGTTGTTTGGACGTCTTGGTCAGCTCTGAACCGAACTTAAGCCAAGACAGGCGTGTACAGCCTGTAATGTAACAAAGAAAGGCATTGTCCAGTGAAGATTCAAACATCCTTGAAGGAATGAGGATGTTTGCCAACCTGCAGGTTTTAGATCTGTTTATACAGAGAGTAACTGGACAGGTTCATCAAAGAGAAAGGGCACCAGAAAGACTTGTTTGGGAGATGGATCAATGGCAGCGAGTCAACTGGGGAGGTTGAGCTTTCAACAGCAGGAGGATGCCTTAGGAACCTGCTGGTTTTTCAAATTGCCATTAAATGTGTCTTTGCAGGTGGATCAAAGAACTGCTGGAGACAGATTCAGATTTCCATTTGTTTTGGATGATTCTCCCCACCCCTCACCCCATCTTTTTTTTTTTTTTCTTTCCTTCAGGGAAAAGAGGTTTCTTGCCCCAATGAGCTAATCTAGAGAGGGTTCTTTCCAAAAGAAAACATGCAAAAGCCAGATCCCTCTTGCCCTCCTATTTGAAAGAGATAAAAAAATATTGCCCCTTTCCATACTGATCCCAATTCACTTATTTGTGAATCTCTGTTCACAGCCACTTATTTGACTGAGTGAGCTAAAGAGAGAAAGCATCCCGCTTTAAACTAGCAAGCAGTGGAGCAGAAAATATAATCATAAGGAGCTCTTGTTGGTAAAGATGAGCAAAAATAGTATTTCCCTTGTATTATTGTTTTACCAGGAGACACCCAGTCACATTGAACTGACCCACGTTTCTTGCTCGTTTGGCTACAGAGCTCATGCTGAAATTGGGGGGCTTGTTGGATCTATTCATTTCTTTAAATGCCAACTCAGTTTTGGGGCCATTAGCATTGCATTCCACCAATCCCATCAAAGAGTCCAAGAAATCAGTCTCAGGCATGCACTCGGTTTCTCTCAGGTTAAAAACACAAGCAGCTCAGAGTTAGGCACAGACCGTCAATCAGACTCAGTCCTCAAATAAAGAGAAAAGAGAAAAGCACAGGTATGTTCCATGAAAGAGCAGGACAACACTGAGCTCATTCCAGTCAGCAACAGAACCAGCTCTGGCAGGCAAAGCACAAGCAGGATTCCCCTGGGTTGTTGGGGGGCAGGAGAACAGGCACTCGGGATGGAACGCTTGTCTCGGAGCATCAGCTCAGCTTTGTTTCACTCATGGCTTACCTTCCCTTCACCACATTCCAGCTGGACTCACCTTGGCACGAAAGGGCCCGTGGGGCAGAGCTGGCACTCAGCTGGATAAGGAGGTGCCATCACTAAGCTGGTCCCTGTCCCCCTGTTCCCCCTGCGGGGCTGAGGAGCTCCACAGGGCAAGGCAGAGCTTTGACCCAGAGCCTGTTTGAACCATGTCTTCCCAACAGTGGGAACGAGACCAGACCTTATGTGGCATTCACAGCACTTTCAGGCCTGGAAGGCTGACACAGTTTAAACTTCAGAGCAATGCTCAAGCCAGACCTTTCCTGTGCTCCAGCCTTATGCTCTTCTGAGGAGCACACGGACAGTGTCTGCGGGATCCATCTCTCCTCTGACCCTGCTGTCCTTCCCTCTTCTCACGTTCCTGCAGCTTAACAGCAAGAACATTGTCTTGCTCAGACTTTGCTGCAGCCTCATAATCAGGGCTGACAGGATGCTCAACATCTGCCTTGGGCTGGGCTGCCTGAGAGGTTGTGCTGAGCACAGGCTGTGCTTTGTACATGGAAAACGGGGATAAATGGGAAAGGGGTTCAAAATGGTGTAGTTATGCCTGCAATGCCCCATTCCCTGGGATTTGGAGGGACAAACAGTCCGTACAATTTTTATTCCCCAGCCTCTAAGCCTCCCTCTTTGACTCCTGCAGTTCCTAAAGCGCAGTGGGATCCCTCACAACCCAGGCAAATCCCCCGTCCCCGACGCCGGGACGGTTCGAAGGACAGTTCTCTGCTGTGGGGAGGCCAAATTGCACCCGCTGGGGATGGGTGGGAGGGCTCTGCGTGTGCCACCCCCAGCACACCACGGAGAAAACCCGTCCTTCGACACCTCAGCCCTCCAGGCAGGAGTTAGAGTCACATGCAGCTGAAGGGGAAACTCCACAGTGCGATATTTCTCGGGTACAACAGTGCTTTGCATCGATTCTCCCCCCACTCAGCCACCCCTGTGATGTGTCACATGATTATCCAGGTCATTTTTCCCGGGTTTTTTGATTGCTTTCCTGTTGCACAGATGCTCACGGCTGTTTGGTCCCCACAAGAGGCACCAGAGCTTTGGGATGGTATGATCCACCTGACAGATCCAAAATTATGTTTGGAAAAGCATTTCCCCCTGGCCTGGCCCTGTTTTCCTAAAAGAGGAAGGTCTGGTACTGGAGGTACCCAGTCACCAGCCAGGGCCTGGGCACTGCCACCACTTCCCACCACAGGAGCTCAGATGAGTGATAAATCCCTGAAAGAACTGCAAAGCAGGAGGGAAACAGGGAGAACAGACATCATGGATAACAAACTGGCCTTGATTGCTGTCCTACCATGGGCAGCCTCATCTTTTACCCTTTGTTTTCATAGAATCACAATTTGGTTTGGGTTGGAAGGGACCTTAAAGCTCCTCTCATTCCACCCCCTGCCATGGGCAGGGACACCTTCCACCAGCCCAGGTTGCTCCAAGCCCCATCCAACCTGGCCTTGGACACTTCCAGAGATCCAGGGGCAGCCACAGCTTCTCTGGGCAACCTGTGCCAGGGCCTCCCCACCCTCATTGTAAAAAACTTCTTCCCAATATCCCATCTATCCTTGCCCTCTGGCAGTGGGAAGTCATTCCCTGTGTCCTGTTCCTCCATCCCTTGTCCCCAGTCCCTCTCCAGCTCTCCTGGAGCCCCTTTAGGCCCTGCAAGGAGCTCTCAGGTCTCCCTGGAGCCTTCTCTTCTCCAGGTGAGCACCCCCAACTCTCCCAGCCTGGCTCCAGAGCAGAGGGGCTCCAGCCCTCAGAACATCTTCTTGGCCTCCTCTGGGCTCCAGCAGCTCCATATCCTTCTTCTGTTGGGAGCCCCAGAGTTTTCCATATGGAAAAGGAGAGAAGCCATGAAGAGCAGGGTGTGCAACCATCGCCTGGGGCTGTTCCTGCAGCACCCTCAGCAGCAGAATGATCTGCCCAGCACAGGAGCTGTGCTCACTGTCCCCAGGGATGCAAAAAAAGCTGCTGGAAGAGGCATCTGATCAAGGCAAAAATGGGATCGCTCAGGAAGCTTTAGCATTTCTCTTCATCTGGCATCGACAAGAATTAACTTATTCTGTTGAGGAAGTGGCCTTGTTCCCATTTAAATGTCCATGGTGTTGCCAGAAGTGTTCCCGAACCTTGCACAGGGCCCTGGCTTCCTCTGAAGCTCAGGGAATCCATTGCTGATTTTAGGAGGATTTCTGAAGATTTTTGCTACACTCATCTGTGCCTTGAGGACTCTGCTATCGCAGTTACATCATATCATCCTTCCATCCTGATGGAATGCTGGAAGAATGATTTTCTGTGTGTGATGCCCAGATCTCTCCTCGTTCCCTGCTTCACAGAATATCCTGAGTTGGAAGGACCCACAAGGACCATCCAGTCCAGCTCCTGGCCCTGCACAGACACCCCAACAATCCCACCCTGGCCCTCAGAGCATTTTCCAAACCCTCCTGGAGCTCTGGCAGCCTTGGGGCTGTGCCCACTGCCCTGGGGAGCCTGGTCAGTGCCCAACCAGCCTCTGGGGGAAGAACCTTTTGCTGAGATCCAACCTGACCCTGCCCTGGCACAGCTCCAGCCATTCCCTGGATCCTGTCACTGCTCACAGAGAGCAGGGGTTGGAGCTGCCCCTCTTGAAGAAGCTGCAGAGCCTGGTGAGCTCAGATTTCAGTCTCCTCCAGCCTTCCCTTGAACTTTGGAGCTCTTGATGCACTCACTGCAGTGTCCCAGCAGCAGTGGAAGGAAGAAAACATCTCAGGAGGACAATGTGGTTCTCCAAAGACCTCACTGGGATGCCAGGTGATGGGAGGAGCCTGGACTCGTCTCTGTGAAACAGCAACTGCAATCCTAACAAACAGCAGGGTGAGCTTTGAAATCCTTCACCTGAACGTGGACCAAAATTTGGCCAAATCGAGATAAACTGGTTTTTTTCCAGTATATTTTCACAGCTCATGCCAGAGCACTTTTCTGTGCTGCCTGGGCCAGGGGTGCAGCAGATGACATCTCCAAAGACATCCTCACTGCTGCCACACATCTGTAGCACTTCCAGCCACCACAGAAATTCCCTTCTTGGCTCGCACTGGGCAAATTTTCACTCACACATTGTCATTTTCTCCTTTACTGCTTCCTAGGAAATCCCCCCTGTGACCCTCCAGGAACAGTCATGGAGCTTCTGTGCAGCCTGGCATGAAGATTCACCCTGATTTGTGTCTTAACAGCAACTGTGCAGCAGGAAATGCAGATGTTACAGATCCAAGAGCTGTTGTCAGGTGGCCAAGCAAGGATTTTTGATAAGCTTATGGTCTCCTTTGTGTTATTAACCATAGCCAAGATAATTAAAAATAAGGGAAAAAATTATATATATTTAGATTGCATTTTTCTTTATTCATTCTCTTTTGCTTAATTTATGATTTTCAAAGAAAAAAGGCCAGGGTTTCCAAAGGCATCTTTGGAATCAGGCACTAAATTCCCAGTGGGATGTGGCTTCTGGTACTTTTCAGCTCTGTTCATAACACAATTTATGCTTTAACTTGAGATGTTTGGTTTTGCAGCCCAGGGACTCTATGTCCAAAATAATTCTACGGGCTGGTATCACAGGGAATTTTCCAAATGGAGCAAAGATAATATTTTTCTATCATTTCAATCATTTCTCTTTTGATTTGAGGGCAGCAAGTCTGCCATCACTTCAGAATGTTTCTGCCTTGTAATACTGGGGTTTTTGGCAAGAAAGCATCTTGTTCAAAAGAAACCAAACCCACTTTCCAAGAGCTGAATTTGGTGCCACCGGTTTTAAAGTGAAGTATTTCCCAGCCAGCCAATCTTCTCCTCTCCAGCCCATCCAGGAGCATCATTCCCTCCTAATCATCCCGTCCCGTTTCCCATGGAAATAAGGCAAGTGGGAGTCTCCCCTTTAGCAAAGTGGGGGGGAACAGAGAGCAGAGCTATTGGTAACTGGGTTTGCCTCATGTCACCAATTAGCCCAGGGAAGGAGGTGCAGAAAGAAGCCAGTTTGGGGCAGTGCTGCAGTGAGGCTTTTTCACCAGTGCAATCGGAAATCTCATCAAAAGAAAACTCAAAAAAACCAAACCAAACAACTTATCAAATCAAAAGAAAAACGAGAGAAAATAAAAGCAGAGGCTTGAAAGAATTGTTTAAATTCAATGAAACCAACCGTGTCCTATATGTGATGTTTTCATGGATGGATATTGGCAAGAGTTATTTACAAATTTAGGGTTTTTTTTGTTTTGAGCAGCAGGTGCACAACATACAGACGGAGACATGGTTTTCGCATTGTATGTTGATTGGATGGCGTGATTTCAGCAGGTAGATTAAGGAAAATAAAGAACAAAACAGGGAAACAAAAAGAGAAAATGAGTAATCAGGACAAGCAAAAAAGGAAACTCTGAAAAATTTCATTGAGGGAAAAGAAACTATCAGGTCTCGAGGGAGGGGAGGTGTTATTTTATGGGAATTATATAAAGAAAAAATGCTTCAAACCAAAAACAGGTTCTGAGATCCTAAAGGTAACACACACAGTGCAGTAGTGATTTGCATTTCAGTTTGTAATGCAAATTGGGAGACAATTCACAAACACTTCTCAGGAGGTTTTTTTTTATATTTCCAGGCATAGAAATAGATGTCAGTTTGCCAAACTCCCACTCTGGATGTGTCCACAAGGACACCTTCTCCTTAAAGCCACCTATTTTCCCTCTATTACTGAGAGGGTCAAAAAACTGACATTCACTTTTTTTTTTGCCTAAGGAAATAAAAAAAAAAAATATATATATATGTTCCACTACAATCACAAAGTAAATTACATATGGTATGACTACAAAATTGATACAAAGCAATTCATCAACACATTTCTTTTCCTTTTGTCTTTACTTTTCCGTGGGTTAAAGGTACCGATGCAGCAAGGCTGGTGGAAGCCAAGTCTCTCAAGAGGAGATAACCCCCCGCCCCAGGTGAGCGGGTTTATTTACCTTGGAGAACATTTACAGCTGGAAAATACAGTCATGGGAAAAAATAACAGTGTTTTATGAGCCTGATCTCGGGGTGACACCTGGAAAACCTAGAAAACACCTAGATCTCCAAGGGAGCTGGGAGGGCTCCAGGGGCAGGACAGATGGAGGCTGATGGGGTCATGTTGTGGCTGCCACATGGACCTCCCAGATGAGGAAATCCCATGGGATGGGTGACAAGAGGGCTGGATGCACAGGGAGAGACTGACAGAGGCTGCCACCCAACTCTGCCTGTAGTGCCCATCAGCTGAGGAGGTGGGATAGTTTTAGTCTAGGCCTTCCTAAGACCAGCTTGTAACCAGGCAATTACCCTATATTCCCAGTGTTCCATGCTATTCTTTACATAAGCAGAGGTATAAATAAGAAGGAGAGAGAAGGCTCTGCCCTCTTCTCTTCCTATGGATCTGAAGGCACAGGTTCTCTGCTGTTGGTCCTGCTCATGTGAGGGAGTGAGGCTTAGTGAGGCCTGCTGAGACCTAGTGAGGCCTAGTGAGGCCTAGTGAGCCTAGTGAGCCCAGTGAGGCCTAGTGAGGCCTAGTGAGGCCTAGTGAGCCTAGTGAGCCCAGTGAGGCCTAGTGAGGCCTTGTAGGCCTTGGGAGGCGGAGGGTGCCGGCGGTCGTTTGGCGCAATTCTGCTCTCTCAAGGAGAGTAGTAAGATTTTCTTTTGCCAATTTTTATTGATTGTGCATACCTGCTTCGGGTTTCTTTTGTGGTTTTGTCCCTTTTCCCTTCCCCTTCTAGGAGGATTGTTTGGGGTTCATTTTTGTATGTACATAGTATTTTAACTGTATATAACTGTGATATATGTAAATGTATATATTTTAATATAGTTCTGCTATTCTGGGTTTTTTCATAGTTTTTTCTCTCTCACTCTTTGCCGGAGGCTTTTCGCTGGGTCTCGGGAACTTGGCGGGGAGCCAGGTCCAACTCTAACAGGAGGGCAGATGGAGAAGAAGGAACTCTATGCTGAGGACACAGCTCGGAGTGGTGAGGAGTCAAGACCTGTTCTCCTCTCTGGTTATTCTCCACTCCATGATGGAGCTGCTGCACCCCTGGGCACACTCTGAGGAAGGTGAAGAAAGCATCAGCTGTGGCCCTTTGTGCAGAGCAGATGCTCATCCCCAGCCTAAAGTTACTGCTCTGCCTTACCTGGGAATATAAAGAAGTTGGGAATACAAAGAGAGGGTGGACAGAGGCCCTGGGATGAAAGGTTGAAGGCCACACACCAGGGCTGTGCTCTGGGAATGAGGCACCCACTGGTCCTCCCTTCAGTCCCTACTGTCTGCAAACCAAATGTTCTCATCACTGCTTCAGGCTTTTCACCTCTTTTCTACATTTTTAATTGGATTAAATTGTATTTAGGTACAAACAAATTTAGCAAATTGTTTAACAAATATTACAGAGATGGTTTAAAGTGTAGCTCTGCCAGGATATACCTCACATATATTTTTGCTGACACTTTGCAGGCAGCAGAAAGGTCCTGGCATTGCCAGACAGGTGTGGGACCCCTTGGGTTACCCCTGCTGTGGTTTGGGTCAGAATACCCCTAACTGCAGCCTACCATGGAGCCAACAACATGGCACAGCAGCAGAGTGCTGGATCCTTCTGCCTGTTTTCCATCCTCAGGACTGGAAAGGGGAGAAACATAAAATCACAGAACAGTTTATGTTAAAAGGGACCTTAATGCTCATCTCGTTCCGCTCCTGCCACAGGCAGGGACACATCCCACAAGGCCCATCCAACCTGGCCTGGAGGCCAGGAAGGCTCGTGGTGGCAGTGGAGACCCTGGAACAGGAGCACCTCCACCCCGTGGCACTGGCTGAAGCAGAACAAACTGCTCCACGAGAAGCCTCCTGACAGCTGCCATTATTTGCTGCCCCTGTTAATTCTGTCAGAAATGTGATTTTTGGGGCACCACCGGGGTAGCTAAGCAGTGGTGCAGAGACCTGTGCATCAGGGTCACCTTGAAGCAAACTAAGCCTCCTGAGTACGATGCCTTTGAGCCCTCAGCCCGTTGTCCCTGTCTGAGGCTGGGATGGATGTGGAAGGGGGTGCTGGTGGGGATGGGAGTGCTGCTGCAGCTGGGGCTGCAGAGACCTCAGGGAGGAGCTGTGTGAAAGGAGTGTTGAAAAGCAAGTTAGCAAGAAGGTGGGAGGGGGAAATGACCCCTGGGCAATCTCTGTCTGCAGGGAAAAGCCTGTGGGTAGAAGGCATGATGGCTACACAGAAATCAGAGAATCAGAGAAGCTTTTAGGTTGGAAAAGATCTCTGAGATCATCAAGTCCCCAGCACTGCCAAGGCCACCTCTAAATCATGTCCCCACGTGCCACACAGCTTTTAAATCCCTTCAGGGATGGGGATTCCACCACAGCCCTGAGCAGCCTGTGCCAGTGCCTGGCCACTCTTTTAATGAAGAAATTGTTCCTAATATCCAACCTAAACCTCCCCTGGTGCAACTTGAGGCTGTTTCTTCTTGTCCTGTCAGTTGGTACTTGGGAGAAGAGACTGACCCCACCTGGCTGCTGCAGAAAGGGAATGTTTAGAGAGAGCAGAGCTCCAACAGGTCTGTAGGCACAACCAGAGAACCAAGAGATCGGGGGCTGGAGTGGTACTGGGCTTTTAAATTAAAGAGATGTTTGTGATCAGTGCCAGGGGAAGGTGTCAACCTGCATAAGAAAGTCCTCTCTAATGTTTGACTTAAAGGCTCTAGCTACTCATAAACCAAAAACCTCTTCCAAGTGGAAGGAGAATGGAAAGGCATATAGGTGCTTGGGAGCTTGACCCTATTGGAGTTAGACTGGTTTTAGGGCTAATTCACACTCCAAATTGCTGCTGCCTTCAATGCTGGAAACCAGAGAAATCCCTGTGGAGGGGAGGGGTGATGCCATCAAATCCAGTGATGCCTCACAGCCCAACCTGATCAGTCCACAGCCAACTTTCCAGATGCCAGACACCCTCCCTGAGGCCATCCCGTGGGAGCTGGAGGGAGAGGCAGTGGCCTGTTAACTGAGCAGGGAATGGGGAACACCACTGGCTGCAAAACAGCTCCAGAGTGAGGGTTTTAAGAAGCAGCACATGGGCTTGGTGTTATGAAGGAGACACCTTCCTGAAGGAGAAGACACCAATCTCAGAGAGAGCAGAGGCTCCTCACCCTGTGTGAGCTGCCCGTGCTGCTTCCTCCCAGGAAAAGTGGCCAAAGGAAGGTGGAGGAGAAGTGGCAGTCTCTGTTCTTGGCTCACTCATGAATCTTTGCACAAGTTTTCAAACCACAGCAAAAGTTTGGCAAGAAAACATCCCATGGCAGAGGGAGTGGAAGCATCCAGCACTCAGAGAGGTGGAACCCAGACCTTGGGTTTGTTTTGATTAGTTTAAACCTGGCTGCACTGAAAACAAAAGGTAATTCAAAGCCTAGGAGAGGATTCACCAGCTGGTAAATGAACACTTGTATGGGGAGCAAAACTTTGGGGTTTGTGTGGTTTTTGGTACGAAGGGTAGGTTAAAATATGTTTTGTTAGGAGCAGTGATACGGTCTTCACCACCACCATCTGTAAAGAAGCCTGGGGAGCACAATTCTTAGCACATACAAAACAGATCTATCAGCAAATCCCAGGAGACTGAGAGAAAAAAAGTTATGGTAAAGTTCAAATTCATCACATACAGATACAAGATGCACTGGGAGAGGAGAGGAGGAGTTTATAAATTGGATAGTGTCAGGGTGTCATGGCTGGAGTCAGATATTTGCTGCCCTTCTGGAAAAATCCTTTAGAATTTAATAATTTAATGGCAAGTTGTGTGATCTACTGGGCTCATTAGCAGGGAGACAGCTGTCCCTGTAGGGCTGGCCAGAAATCCTACGGGAAAGTTGTTTGGTTATTAATTTTAATCTGTTTATTTAATTAATTGTTTCTTAATGACCCCACAGAGATTTGTGCACGTGATAGGAACACTCCCCCAACCCAGCCTGTGTGGGCCCTCCATTCCCATCACTTCTCACCCTCACCCTGCCCACGGCTGGGCAGGAGCCCCAGGGGACACGAGGGGGTGTGTGTGCCCTGCAAAGCACCTCACACCATAACACAGCAGAGCCCTTTTGGGCTTTCCCCTCTATTAAATTCAACAGGATTTTTCCATTAATAGGCAAAAAAATGGCCCGGGGGCAGATTTGCTGAACGAGAAATAGCTGCTTCCTGGCAGAGGCAGCGGCACTGTCGTTCTCATCAGAGCCTTTCACAAGAGCCTTTGGGGCAGGCAGCTGTGCTCAGCTCCCTGGAAAGAGCAGAGCTGATGGAAAAACAGGCTGCCAGGTCACCCAAGGACATCCCAAATCCCAGAGGCAGCTCCAGGGAATCAGGCTGGTAGGGAGAAGGTGCAATGTCTTTGACAGGGCCCAGCTTTGTTTATGAACGGAGCGAACGGGACTTACCGCGATCTCGGTTACTAAAATATCAGTAATACTTCCCAACACTGTGACAAAATCAAAGACATTCCAGGCATCTCGGAAATAATTCTGCCAAATGAAAACACAAGGGGGGGGGATAGAGGGATCCAGGGGTTATTTTCTTCCCTTTTTTTTGTTTTTAAATGCGCGTCACGAAATACGAGCGTTTGGTGGGGAGGGGAAGCAGGGGAAGGTGAAGGAGGAAGGCACGTACCAGCACACCAAAGGCAATGATCTTCAGCACACATTCCATTGAAAACATGGATGTAAACACAATATTCAGGCATTTCAGCATTTCTTCATATGCTTCTGGAGCATCATAGAACTAAAGCAGGACGGAAGAAAAGCTGTTACCAGAAGATCATGTACAGAATAAAACCAGCTGACTTGCCCAACTGCAAAACTCCTGCTTGTTTTAGTGTTGGATTTTGCGCTCACTTCAAGCAAGATTTGGGGTTACAAAAAGTTATTTATGTCCCTCCAGAAGGACACTCCTCCCTACATACTGTCCCAGTTGGAGATATCCCCAACACTGGAGCTGCTGGTAGACATCCCTCTGTAAGCACAACATGGGCCAGGAGGAAGAGCATTTTCAAAATCAGAGGACAAGTGCAGCACTGTGGGTCATTCCAGAAGACCCTAAGAATAAGGTGACCCCATGACTGTGAAGATACTCTAAGATAGGCAAGGGAGAGGAGGGGACATCATCCACAATGTGCCTCCACCCACATCTCCCTCCTGAGCACTGGGGATCACATCCCAGAGTTCTGAGGCTGTTGCAAAATTGAGCCATTTCATAGAATAACAGAATGGTTTGGGTTGGAAGGGACCTTAAAGCTCATCTCAATCCACCCCCTGCCATGGGCAGGGACACCTTCCACTAGCCCAGGTTGCTCCAAGCCCTGTCCAACCTGGCCTTGGACACTTCCAGGGATGGGGCAGCCACAGCTTCTTGGGGAATTCCATCCCAACCCCTCATCACCTTCAAAGGGAAGAGTTTCTTCCCAATATCCCATCTAAATCTCTTGTCTTTCAGTTTGAATTTCCTTGGCATGACTGGATTTTGAGCAAGACGTGGCCCTGCTCTGCAGCAGGAAGCCCAGGCTGAGCTGGAGCTCAGGACCTGCAGAGCCCAGTTCCTACTCCACTGGAGGGGCTACGAGCCAAACCAGCACCGTGCAGGGGAACATTCCCAGGATCCCATCACAGCTGAACCACCTCCCTTAGGAGACCAAAGGAATCCCACCAGGAATCTGAGGAGCGGTGGTTGCTCCTGAGGATCCCCCCCAGATCCCAGGTCAGGAGTCCAAATCCTCTCCCTCCAACAGCACAGTCACCACCCAAAAACTGCCCAGGATTCAGTAAGATCCCACTGACCTTCATCATGAGGACAATGGTGTTGAGGGCGATCATGACCATGATAAAATACTCGAAGGGAGGGGACACCACGAATTTCCACATCTTGTACTGGAAGGATTGCTTGTTCTGGGGCATGTACCGGGTCAGGGGCTTGGCACTTATGGCAAAGTCTATGCAGGCCCTCTACAAAACAGAAGTGAAGTGAAAAATGATGGAAAAAGGGCTGAGAGTCTCCATCCCTCAGGATATGGTTGGGAGAGCGAGCAGAGAATTCAGAGGGGGGTATTTCTAAGTGACTTCCTATAAAATCCAGGACATAATCCCCAAATCATGACAAATGTTGCTGAATATTAAACCCCCCAACATCCCCATGGCCCCCTGCAGGCCTAGGAGACCACCTTCCATCAGAGCCCAGCTCCTGGTAGGTCCCAGTCCCTTCCCTAAGTGGTTTTAAATCCATGGGTTCACTTCAGAAAATACTGAATTCCTCCTGATGGGTAATTGTAGAAACAAGGGAATGGTATCTAAAGTGAAGATGTTATCTGTGGGTTTAAAAAGTTATTGTGAAACTCAGGTATGTTCTGACACTTGCACAGCTCAGAACATTTCATGAAATGAGGACTGAGCCCAACCAATGAATTAACCACCAAATAGCTCTGGGTGAACTCTCACAGACCCCCTTTGTTGGTTATTTCTGTGCACATTATTAGGAATATAAAATGGCATTAAAAATTGGTTTCTACCCACAACAAGTGTTGATTCTGGAGGATTTTCTCTTAACTTTCCAATTTTCAAAGCCTTATATGACTGCAAAAATACTTTCTGCTCAGTTGAAAATAACGTGGGCAAAGCAACCCTAAATATTCTGCTTTATTTTGGACTTTTTGGTCATGTGGACAAACGAGGAACTAATTAATAATTGAATAAAAAAGTCATCTCTTTTCATCAAAAATCAGGTTCCGGTTTCAAAATCCATGAAAAGAGATGGTTCTTTGCACAACAGGTCGTTGAGGCTGTGGGACCCCAGACAAAGGATGTTGCAGATGCTGAAAATCTGCTTGGGTTCAGAAGGAAACCAGATACATCCAGGGAAGGAAGATACACAGATGCCACTGACTAAATTAAAAACATGTCCAACTCAGGACATTCCTGAGCTGAAAACGATGGTATTTGCTGGAGATTTCAAGAAAAGCCTCACAGGGTCTTGCCTTGGTCTTACACTCTTCTCAAGGCACCTACTTTTGGGGGAAATCATCTCAGCCAGGCCCAAAGCCAGCCTGGGGAGAGGAGCTTTCTCTGGGGAGCCAAAACAGTTGTAGTTTGGTTTCTAAAAGGCCACAGATTTGTCTCCTTTCACACCCAGATTCTTGAGCAAATGTGGAAAGCAGGACTGGGTTGGGTCAGAAGGGACCTTAAAGCTCACCCAGTCTCACCCCTACCATGGGCAGGGACACCTTCCACTAGCCCAGGTTGCTCCAAGCCCTGTCCAACCTGGCCTTGGGCACTTCCAGGGATCCAGGGGCAGCCACAGTTTCTCTGGGCAACCTGTGCCAGTGCAGGTCCATGTTCTCTTTGCAGCAGAGGTGTGGCCCAAGGGGACACCTGACAGTGGTCACTCGGGGGCTTTCCCTGGCTTTGTTTCTGTGCAAAAGCTGAGAGTCAGTCGTGTGTTTGGTCTCCACAGCACAAACCCTCAGATAACCACTGCTCTCCACCCCCCATGGCACAAGAGGGAGGAAGGAGGGGGCTTCCACTGCTGCTCTGAGCCCCCCCGGGTGCCAACTGTGGGTTCTGAAGACGGGGGTACCTCGTTTTTCTCGAGGCTGCACTCTGACATCACTTTATCTCCTTGCTCTTGGAAGGTGATGATGATTAAAGCCACAAAGATGTTCACAAAGAAAAAAGGGAAGACAACAAAATACACCACGTAAAAGATGGACATTTCCATCCTGTAGCCAGGGCTGGGACCCTGCTCCTCGTAGGTGGCGTCCACCGAGTGCTTCAACACGCTGCAATCAAGGGCAGAGAGAGGAGAAAAGTCACCAAAAATCACTGTGAAGCACCTCAAAGTCACTCACTGGCCTTCACTCAATGTGGAGGGTTGTCCACATATGCTCAGGTCAAACCCCTTCCCAACTATATGGCTGGGAAGGAGTTTTCCTTGAGGATATTTTGACAGGAAACCCTTCCTGGTTTCACCCCGTGAAAACCAAAGCAATCACTGTGAAGCACCTCATGGTCACTCACTGGCCTTCACTCAACGTGGAGGGTTGTCCACATATGCTCAGGTCAAACCCCTTCCCATGTTTATGGCTGGGAAGGTGTTTTCCTTGAGGATATTTTTACAGGAAACCCTTCCTGGTGTCACCATTCTGCAGAATGATGATTTGCTAAGTACAGATCCCCCCTGGCCAAGGGCAGAGGATCCAGGGGGATCTGGCTTCCCTTCTCTGGTCAACAGGGGTGAAGGAAGAACGGGCAAAGAGAGGTATTGATGATGTCTGAGGAAGGGAACACCATGAGGGATTGGAAAAGGGAGACTGGTGCTGGTTTGTTCTTTATTTTCACAGAATATGCTGAGTTGGAAGGGACCCACAAGGATATTTTATGAAATAGTTGAACGTGGAGGACAGGGAAACCCTGATCACAAACTGCACTCCACGTGTCCCAGCAGCAAAGTGTGCCAAAATAAAGTCACATGCTGAGCAGCAAATATCATTTGGGGACTGTCATACTCTCAGCACAGGTCACAATACTTTTCTTACATTTCCATGAGCAGCTTTACACCTGAGAAAGGTGGGCAAGACCAAAAGCCTGAAGCAAGCACTGAAAACTGCCTGAGAGTCAGAGGAACGGCGAGAAAAACACACATTCACCCAAATCTGATTCACCCAGTGACCACACAAAGGAAGGAAAAGCTTAGCTGAGAAAAGCCTCTTCTCATTTCCCATTTCCAAGCCCCTCAGAGCTGTGGGAAGGTGCCTTGACCTCCCCAGTCACTGCCCCTGCCAGCCCTGGGTACTCACGTTGGCCACCCTTCCCCCGTGGACACGGTGAAGAGCGTGAGCAGAGCCCAGAGCACGTTGTCATAGTGGAACTCATATTTTTTCCATTCCCTGGGCTGGGCCTCCACCTCATTCTTTTCATAATCGAGGTACTGACCCCTAAGAAAAAGAGAGATTCAGAGCAAATGAGGGAATTAAACCAAACTAGCCGTTTCTTGGGAGTCACTGAGGAGCATCGAGAAGCCCTGGTGTCACAGGGATTAGAGACAAAGAGGCAGCCCCCCTAGGCTTGGGACAAAAGTCAAGGCCAATTTCTGAGCCATTTTCAGCCACAGGAACTGGATCTGAGGTCTAGAAATAAAAGAAATTGTAATCAGGGCATTCATCCATTCATTAGGCAAAGCCAACAATTAACAGCTGGTCCCCAAATCGTGTGGCCCCACAGAAAACTGGGCTGCTTGATAGGGAAAGGGCTCTGGTTCCTATTTCAAGGTTGGAACTAAACCCTAAAGGGGTCTTGTTTTAGGGGCCAAGGGACCTGGCATCTGGAGAGCTCCCCTCCAACCTACCCTTCTGTGTAATTTCACTTTCTTTCTAAAATATATTTACATCATTCCAAATATATTTACATAATTCTAAATACATTTACATCATTCCAAGGAAGTGACAGCCCCCGTGACTGCCAGGATCCCACCAGGGACAAACCCTGCATGCACAAGGCAGCGGGAGAGGGATGGGCAGAGCTGGATGGTGCTGAGCATGTGCTTTGGGTGCCAAGAAAAAAGGCAAATGAGGAAGATGCACATTGAGGTAACACACCTTGAGCCTGCTGGAAGGGCAAGACATGACAGGGCTTTTAGGATGTTCAATCCCTTTTCTCACTAATTAGGAACCCTTTGACTTCCTAAGCTTCTGATTATTTAGTCATTATGTTTTTCCAGTTCCTAGGAGTTCTAAGGATCAAGGCAACAGGCGGAAAGAGGACTCACACTGTCAAAAACCCTTCAACCCCTCAAAACCCCTTGATTTAAAAACCACCCCTAGACCTCCCTGGGAAGGAAGGTGACTCCCCTGCATTGTTAAGCATTTGGGAAAGCATTTGCTGGATCAGAGCCAGGAATGACACAGCTATTAAAGAAGGAAAAGGAGAATTCACCTCTAGGGTAACTGTGCTCTCACTTTCAGGAGACTCTTCGTGCTCAGCAGCTGATGCAGCTCTGGGACAACCTCGGGAGCTGCTGCTGGAGGAGGAAAGTTGCTGCCCACCCTGGCCCTGCCCCCAGCTGTACCTGCAGTCCTTCTCCAGCTCCTTGGACTCGTCAGTGCAGTAGAAGAATCTGCCCTTGAAGAGCTGCACGGCAATGACGGCAAAAATGAACATGAAGAGCATGTAAACGATGAGGATGTTGAGGACGTTCTTCAGGGAGTTCACCACACAGTCAAAGACAGCCTGGGAGGGAGGAGAACGAGGTCAAGGGGTTGGGAGAGAGGAAAAGTTTATCCAACAGCTTGGCATCCATCTGAGCACACTTCATACACTCGTGGAATCACTGGTTTGGGTTGGAAGGGACCTTAAAGATCACCCAGTGCCATGGGCAGGGACACCTGCCACTAGCCCAGGTGGCTCCAAGCCCAGCCTGGCCTTCAACCCTTCCAGGGATGGGGCAGCCACAGCTTCTCTGGGAATTCTATCACAGGGAAGAATTCCTTCCCAATATCCAACCTAAATCTCTCTCCCTTGGGAGTCATCACCCAACCCACAACCCAGGGGTGGGTTCATGGAACTTGCCCACCAAGGGTTTGACCGAACACATCTCAAAACTGGGAGCAATAACTCCAGCTTCCTTCAGCTACTTCTTTCTTGGCAAGTTTGGCTGTGCCACTGAATCTTCTGGGCTTGCCCATAAAATTTATACGGACAATCACAGCTTGTTGAGATCAGTATTTGTCCTAAACAAACATTCCCATGGCCACTTATGAAATGAAAACTGCACTTGTGTTTATTTTACTCACTTAGTACTGGATAAGTGAAAACTACTTGAATAATAAGGAAAATTTACCAGATACAAACCAAATGCTTTGAATTATATTTTTCTAAAGGACTGTCTCTCAAAATTAAGTGTGACTAACCCAGTCAGCACATGTCACTTCTGAACTCCCTTCAAAGAACTCCTCAAATACATTTATTACTTGGTTATTAGTCCCTGCTGCACTGTTACAAGTAATCTGCAGTTTGATTTTAGTAGGAGAAGTTGGTCCTAATAATAGAAATTGAGTGGTCTTAGTGCCCAAGCTCAGGGTTTGTACAATACTGCTCCTGCTTCCAGGAATGGAAGGAAATAATTCCCAAAATTACACTCCTGAAGCAACCCAGAAACCCTGAATTAAAACACTGGGAATATCTCTGATCAGCCCATTGATCTTGCTGATTGTTTCTCACGAGACCACATCCAGTTAAAAAAAAAAAAAAGAATTGAAATAATTTTGAAGACTTTTAATCCTAGAATTGTTTAGGTTGGAGAAGATCTCTTGGGATCATTGATCCTAACCATTAACCCAGCACTGCCAAGTGAGAGGCCCAAAATGGACCCAAGTTCAGTTCAAAAACCACATAAACACAACTTCTGCTCCACATAAAGATTTCTGAGATTTCTTTAGAAATTAGAAAACCACTCTGTAAAATGGCTTGAAAATCAGACAGAAATCAATAAAAATCAAGTGTTCAGTGTCCTGCTGGAAGACTGAGCTACTGCTGACTTTTTTTTTTTTACCTCAGAGATTTACATTTTAAATTCCTAACCAAATGAAGACCTTTTTCTGCATTGTTCAACATGAATGTTCCTTATCTTTTCAGAGACATTTAGTATGCATAAAATCAGAATTATTTCAGCCTGAATAGTGGGCAAGGACAAAAGCAAACCTATAGAACAGCTGACCCTCATTTTGATGTGAAATCAGGAACTGTCAGACAAAAGCACCCACTGCTCTTCCCCCACCTCTCACAGAATATTCAGTAGGTATTCAAGAGTTCCCAAACCTCAGAAATTATTGATTTTTGTTAACTCCTTCCTTTATCTGCTTCCAGGGAGTGGCTGTGCCTCAAAGGGTTGGTGAAATGGTGTTGAATGAGTAACCACAGGTCACTACGTTTATTTTAATAGAGTTGTAGAGGTGAAAAGGCTCTAAACCCCTGCACTATGGATTATTTACCAGACAGGTGAACAGATTAAAACTCCTCACACAGCAATGACATTTCTCTTTTGACAGCCCGTGGAAAACCTTGCAATATTCACATTAAACTCTCCAGGGAAAGCCAAACATTCCAACCCCCATTTTCTCCTGTATCATTTCTAAGAGCATCCCACTTATGAGCTGTAAATTAATTTACTTGAGGGGTGGGGGTTTTTTTTTATTTCTTTTCTTTTTTTAGGAGTTTTATTTTCACGTGGGTCCACAACAATTCATAACATGGCCCACGATGTTTGCAACAGAAACAAAGTGTTTGACATTTGCTAAACATCTGCACAGCTATTTTTACCCATCTGGCAAAGGGATTAATTGCAACAAAATCAAAGGAGCAGAAATAACTTGGGTTGGGTCCATCGGCTTCTGCTCAGATCAGTCACAAAGCTCCAGAGAAGGAAAAATTGGGGGTTGTTTTCTAACCTTTAGCTTTGGCAGCCTCTTGATGGTTTTCAGAGGTCTGAGGACCCGCAGGACTCGCAGGGACTTGATGGTGTTGATGTCCTTGCCTTTGGTTCCTCTGCAAGGGAGAAGAGGCACAAGAACAACAATAATTTGGTCGTCAGGTCGCCAACCCAGATATTTGTAGGTTCCCAATGTGGTTTTGGTGGTGGAACTGCTTTGCTTTGGGGTGTTTGTTACAGATTTGGGGTCCATCCTCACCATGGCTGCAGATGAGCCCCACCTGAGCCGTGTCCAGCAGCGCCGTGGGCAGGACGTGGGACTGGCACTGCTCCCCACAGGAGCCTCCTCTCCCTTCCCAGCTACTCACCGAGAATCCCCCGGGATCTGGGGCCCTTCCTGCCCCGACTCCACACCCAGGCAACAGTTCCTGCTCCAGCTACTGGGAGAGGAGGCTCAGCACATCCATCCCAGCCCCAGGAGAAGGGACAAAGTCACGCTCGGCTCTCCTTCCTCCCGAGGGAGTGAGGCAGGAGGAGGTTTCTCCGTGCACTTCTCCAGCAGGAACATTGTGCCTGGACAAGCAGTGACCAGAGGGAACAGGAGCCTTCCAGGTGAGGGACAGAGCCTCGTCCTTGAGTGTCTCTTGGAAGACATGCTACCAAACCCATGCAGGAACATGTAATATTGCAGCATATTACATGCCTGGAACAGCACCGGGGCAGCTTCCCACCTAGGCATGCAAGGGGCTAAGTCACAGCCTGGATCTGGGTTTGGTTAAAACTGAGTGCAAGGCTTGAGAAGGTTCCCCTTGTTAACATCAAGAGGTTTTTAGGGGAAGGAAGGACAGAGTTCCTTTCCTCGTGCACTTCCAAAAATAAATAAATAAGAAAAGACACAGTGACATCTTCTTCCAACCCAACAGCAAAACAATGACATTCCCCTTCGGTTCATATGAAGTGAAAAATGGGATGAAAGTCTGTCACAGAGTTTTATTCATGAGTGTGGGTTTGGGTCTGAGGCTGTACTGAGGTAACACAGGTGTGAATGAGGAACACGTGGAGCAGATGCTGGAACACCTATTCTATACTCTCCCAGTTGGCTCCTTCTCCAAGAGGAAGGAAAAAGAGGTACAAGTGACCCCAGAGACCCACAGGAGGTTTGTGAGGGCCTGCAGAGCTTCCCCCACCCTCTGGCCCCCAGCCCTCCACACTGTGCTCAGGGAGAAGCACCCAGAGTGCAGGAAACCACCCAATTCTGTGGCTGACTGACCTTGCTCAGCCCTGCAATGTGTCTTTTTGCAATCAATCCACTGCCAGAAGGCTTAGAACTCACTGCTGACACTGGAACTCAATCCTAAACTGGACTGGAATCTACAACCCATCTCATCTCTCTCTTCTCTTCAATAACCAGGCCCTGCAGTTGTCCTGGAACACAATAAGATACAGGAATGTTTGGAGGGCTCTGGGTTGGATCCCAATGACATCTACCTTGAACACAAATTGCCTTTCTAAAGGATTTAATATAGGGGGAGAGGGGGAAAAGGATGGAGAAGTACCATCCTCTCCCCTTCTCATCTTTCAGGGCTGCTTTAGGGCCATTCTAATCCATCCCAGGTGGATCCTGACTGCTGGCACAGCTGTAAATCCAGGTGATGGAGCTGATACTCAGGACTGGTTTAATGCCACAAAATACCCATTATATATTTAAAAGAAATAATATTTGATTCTCATTAGAAACCCTTCAATCTGTTCTAGATGAAGCAGGCACTGCCAACAGAGCTTTTCCTGGCTTTCTTGTCAGGTTTTGGCACAGCTGAAGGTCTGGCCCGTGCTTGGCTTGGTATATTTGCTTTCAACTCCCCCAAATCCCAGCAAGTACCGTCCCTGCTGTGGTCACTGTGTCACCACAGCTCACCTGGAGCTCACCTGCTCCAAGGGGGCTTTGTCTGAGCCCTGGCTGCAAAATCATTTGTTCATCCTCTCACGGAGGACATTCAGTGGCAGGAGGGAAGTAGAAAGGGAAATAGGTTGTAGGGAAGGAGATCCCAAAGGAGATCCCAGGAGATCCCAAAGGAGATCCCACCTGGCCTGGCCAGCCTGTCCCCAGGGCTGATGGTCCCCCCCACCCCCTTGGCTGCCCCTGCTGCTCCCTCCACCCTCTCCCCTCTGGAAGGCCAAGCAAATCCCTTACACTGCTCCACATTTCCCAGGATTTCCCTCCCTGAGGGAGGTGGGAGCTGAGGAAAGCAGAGAAGAGTGAAAGTGAGACAGCTAAAGGCCACGTTGGGGCAGGAGGAGGGGAAAAAAAGAGGTGGGATGCTCATCCCAGAACTCTACTCATTCTCCATCATTGCTGGCCACGTTTCTGGTTTGCAGATTAACACACAGCCCAAAAAACAAACTCCAGCACTGCTCTCCTGGGCTCACCCACAACTCCAGAAACTCCATGTGCTGTCTGTCAGTGCTCCCAATTCCAAGAGACCTGGACACCTGCCCCACACTAATTAACAACTGCATTAATTAGGCCTTGTGGAAGGCGAAGTTCTAGACCAGAACTCGGCTCTGGTCTCACAGGGTTGGCCCCACTCCTGAAGGAACAACTCCCATGGACTCAATATTTGGAGGGAGGTCAAAATATTTGTAGGTGGGTCAAACAGACCTTCTGGGGGCTCGTGGCTCCGTGGGGCAGAGCAAATCCTTGCTCCTGCTTTTCCCTGTCATGGGGGGGGGGGTGTGGATAAGCACCCTGAGAGCTGGGAGGTGAAGGGCAGCCAGCTCCAGTCACACCCAATTCCTTCTGCCTCAGAGGAGGACACTCAGAAGGGCTGATTTCTCTTTCTCCATTCAGGCACTTAAGCAAATAAAGAGCGTGAGCCAATTAAATGTTAATGGGATTTCTGCTCTGAGCCATACAGAGAATCCTGAAAAACATCCTTATTTCTTGTCACGGGAAGGTTCCTGCTCCAGGAGAAAGCTTTTCCAATGTCCTGGTGCTCTGAACTGGAGGGATGCAAATTGCTTTTTAAATTAAAGGACACTCTGCAACTCTTTCAGCTTCTCAAATAAAAACCCTCAGGGTTGTTTTTGGTGTTTTTAAGAAGCCCCTCTACCAATATTGGGGGGGTTTTCCACTGCTTTAATACAAAACCAGATGTCCAACAAAACAAAAGGTCCAGATGGAAGCAGGATTCAGTCAAAAGGTGTATCCAAGCACACATTTGACCTGAATATTCCTCAAAACAAAAATAAATTGCTATGGAAGGGCAAGATCTCAGCTGACTGCAGAAAAACAACTACAAAATTCAGAAGAGCTGAATTTGGAAGAAGAACTGTAGAGGGTCACAGGATAAAGGCAGACAGCAAACAGCAGCCTAGAGACTTAAAATAATAATAATAATAAAAGAATTCCATGAATATAAAAATTGCATTAGATCAATTTTAGTTGCATTAGGCCAGTTCTGGGTGTTGGTTTTTTTCCCGTGGCAGTTTGCTGCTCGTTTATTTAAAACATTAAAAACATTTTAAAAGAGCTTTGCGAAGCCTTTTTCTTTTTTCCCCCCTTCAATAAATCAAAAGAGCCTTTAAAAAATTGACGAGTCCTTTCAAATGGAAGCTCCCTGTTTCTGTTGCTGCTGCCAGCAGCTCTGATTTCACACCACATGGGCTTCTCGGAATCGTGGCATCAAAAATTCAGGGCAGGGCGGAGCCGCCGCCTGCGAGTGCCCCAAAGCCCCAAGGCAGAGGGTGAATTCCTCCACTGAGGAGGAAAGGAGGTCACCCCACTCTGCCACAAACACAAAGCCACCCTTTTCCTGCCTCTAAACGCTCTGCTTTCCTAGAGGGAAGAAAGAGTGGAGCACCTAATTCCCTGGATCACATCAAAGACCTTCCTTTGTGTCCTTTCTGTGGCATCTCCGCTGTGGAGGAGCCCACCCAGCTCCTGCCCTGCTGGGACTGGGGTGGGAGATGACACAGCTCTGGCCCCAAAAGCAGACAGCAAAACTGCCACCTCCTTGCAGGGCATTAAATAGGACTTTTTGACCCCCTTCCTTTGCAAGTTGCCCCTTGCAGCCTCTCATAAAACTCTCCACACTCTGTTCTTTAATCAAAGGCTTTTCAGAGCCGGGTGGCATCGCCCAGGCTGCACTGAGTTGGTCCTGAAGCTTCCAGCAGTGCTGTTTGGAGGTGAAATCCTCCAAAAGAGAATAAACCTGCTCCTTCAAACCTAATTACTAAGATTTCCAGGAATTGCAACTCATCCATCAATGATGCACCCACTGAGTCACCCCCTCAAACCCTTCTGGCACAGATATATCTGTGGTTTTGGTCAAGACTCTCTGATCTATTTGGCTTTCTGTCTCTGCCTAAAGAAAACCGGGATGAATGAGGATTGTTAAGGGAAATTTCACTGGATAATGGGTAAGAAAGGGACGGAGGAGTCGATGCAATGGGTGGAACATGAGTTGTTTCCACAGTGGTGACTGTTGGACAGGCAAAACAGTGCAGCAAGAGACAGGAATAACATATTACCCCATGAAACTCCTAGAGAGAGATTCCAGCGAGGAGAAGACAAAGAAAGAGCAGAGTCAATGACAAACAGCAACATCAGAGCCCCCCCTGCACACAGAGATCCCCCAGGCCCACACCCCCCACGCAGCAGCAGGAGAATAAACGAGCCCCAGCCCTTCCACTGGGAGCAAAGAAACCTCCAAAGGTCCTGTCCAAATGTGTGGTTGGGGCATGTTCATGTCCACAAAAAGAAAGGAATTTCTCCTTGAAATGCATTGCTAAATGGCTACATTTAATCAATTTATTAGCATCAGCATCAGTGGTGTTGTTTCTGGCATCTCTCCGGGGACTCCTTCTAAAATTTATTTTAATTATTTTTTTTAATTTATTTCCTTTAAAATATTTTAATTATTTTTTTTAAAAAATTATTTCCTTTAAAATAGTTCAATTTTTTTTTAAAATTTATTTCTTTTAAAATATTTGAATTAATCAGCCCTTCCACTCACATGAAAATAAACTTCCAAATGTCCCTTCCCCCTCCTCCCCTGTTCCTCAGCAGCTGTTTTTTTAACCAACCAGGTACATTTTACACCTGGGGGTGATGGGTTTTGATGACAAATTTTGCTTGTAAATTTACTTTAAGCTCCTTCTATTTCCCTCAAGACTCAATCATGTCTGTGTGTTTGTGGCATGTTCATGTCCACAAAAATAAAGGAATGTCTCCTTGAAACGCATTGCTAAATGGCTAAATTTAATCAATTTATTAGCATCAGCATCAGTGGTGTTGTTTCTAGCATCTCTCCAAGGACCCTTTCTAAAATTTATTTTAATTATTTTTTTAAAAAATTTATTTCCTTTAAAATATTTTAATTATTTTTAAAATTTATTTCCTTTAAAATATTTTAATTTTTTTTTTTTTAATTTATTTCTGTAAAATATTTGAATTAATCAGCCCTTCCACTCCCATGAAAATAAACCTCCAAATGTCCCTTCCCCCTCTGGACACTCAGGGAGGTGCAGCCTCGACTCTTTGGTTGAGTTTCCAAAGAGCATCAGGAAAATCTGCATCTCCACCCCCTTTGTGCTGCTCCAACACACCCAGACAAACTTTTTGCTGCTCCTCAGCAGCTGTTTTTTTAACCAACCAGGTACATTTTACACCTGGGGCTGATGGGTTTGGACCACAGATTTTGCTTGCAAAGTTTGCTTTAAGCTCCTTTACTTCTATTTCCCTCAAGACTCAAACATGACTGTGTGTTTGTGACATGTTTTTGTCCACAAAAAGAAAGGAATTTCTCCTTGAAATGCATTGCTAAATGGCTACATTTAATTAATTTATTAGCATCAGCATCAATGTTGTTGTTTCTGGCATCTCTCCAGAGACTCCTTCTAAAATTTATTTTCATTATTTTTTTAAAAATTATTTCCTTTAAAATATTTTAATTATTTAAAAAAAAAATTTATTTCCTTTAAAATATTTGAATTAATCAGCCCTTCCATTCCCATGAAAATAAACCTCCAAATGTCCCTTCCCCCTCTGGACACTCAGGGAGGTGCAGCCTCGACTCTTTGGTTGAGTTTCCAAAGAGCATCAGGAAAATCTGCATCTCCACCCCCTTTGTGCTGCTCCAACACACCCAGACAAGCTCTTTGCTGCTCCTCAGCAGCTGTTTTTTTAACCAACCAGGTATATTTTACACCTGGGGTTGATGGGTTTTGATGACAAATTTTGCTTGCAAAATTTGCTTTAAGCTCCTTTACTTCTATTTCCCTGAAGGCTCAAACAAGTCTGTGTGTTTGTGACATGTTTATCTGTAGGAAAATAAGAGAATTTCTCTTGGAAATACAATGCTAAATGGATAATTTTAATTAATTTATTATCAGCAGCATCAGTGTTGTTGTTTCTAGCATCTCTCTGGGGCCTTTTTAAAAAATTTAATTTTTTTTTCTCAATTTTATTTATTTATTCCGAACTACTTCTATGAATTTATTTATTTATTAACTCCAGTTAAGCACAGAACAGCTTCTAAAGAGGCAGAAAGCAGACCAGCAGCTGGTTGGAGAGGCTGAGCTGAGTTTGTTGAATCTTCCAGCAAGGACTGATAACCATCTCATGTGCTTAAATAAACACAGGCTGTTGCAATATTCCAGCTGGGAGCCTTTCAGGGAGCTCTGTTATTCCCAGGTTTTTAGTGATGTGTCTGTTCAGCAGCTGGTTCAGACACCAGGGAGGTCAAGGACAAGAATTAAATCCCACCTTGCACGAGGTGATTGTGTGTTCTGGCCACAATAAATAGATTTATTACACTGATGAGGGGAGGCAGGGTTTGCTAGAAAAATCCAGCTCAACAACAGAGATGATCCAGTTGATTCTCCACGAGCTCATTTTCAGGATTATCAAAATTCAGAGTGTCCAGTTTAACCAAACAAAGAGCTGGGGCAAGGACAGGACTCTCAAGTTTGCACCTGATTATTCTGTTATTATTTATAACTGGAACAGAGAGCAAATAATCCCCTGGGAGTTACTGAATTAAACCAGAAATATTTCAGATATTCTCTGAACTGGACATCAACACTCCCCTCCTACTGAAACGTGGATGTGGGACAGAGGGTACAGAAATCATCAAAAGCACAGAAAAAATTCCAATTTTTCCAAGTCTCCCAATAGGTTTGTCTCCCTTTAATCTGGGAGACAGTAACTAGGCAGGTTTTATGCATTCCCTGCCAAATTCTCACTCAGAAGGTAAAATAGAAGCAGCTTGGGGCACTATTATAAAGCACAGGCAGGGGATGTAAAAGTAATTTATTTAGAGGCTGATGAGGTGCTGTTAGATATTCATGGCCCAACATAGAAAACCTGAGCATGAAAAGACTCCAAAGGATTAAAAATTATTCATTTGAATCCTTAACTTGACCAATAGAAAAAAAAAGTCTTGTTCAAAGGAAAGTCTTACTCAAAGAGAAGAGGTTTTCAAGGCAAACCCTGGTGTTTGTTCTCACAAAATGCTCCTTCTCCCAGTCTGCCCTGACAGTTTGAATTCCTGATGGGAAAGGGAAATTCTCATTGAACTGCAGATTTGGGGAATATTGTTTTGCAGATTAATACTTGTGACTGTGATTATTTTCCTTTTCTATGTCTCTTCCATTCCAAGGAGCTCTGTATTAACTTGCTAAATGCTTTTTTAGGAGGGTTTTGCTTAGTCTGGCCACATCCAGCTCTAAAAGCTGTTCTATAATATATTCCATGTGCAGGGAAAAGAAGCCCCACACATGTCTAGTCAAGCTTAAAAAGCAGCTTGGGTTTGGATGTTAAATTTTAGGTAAGATATTCACCAGCCCAGCAATTCTATCTCGAGTTTTGCTTAGGACAGAGCACTCAGCTCCTCAAAAAACCTGATTTTTAACGAATGGGGACAAAGTTTTTAAAGAGGGGAGGGCAACATCCCTTTGAAAAACTTCTGTCGGACGTGAATGTCTCCAAAACTTAAATAATTCCTTAATAATGTAATTTAAATAATTAATAATTCTGGAGGATCAGGCACAGAAAGCCCAGATCCCAATATCCCCAAGTGTCACCCCTCAAAAATCCCACCAACAATGTCAAGCCCGTCTCCTTCAGTCCATCCACTTCTTGGTCTTTTTTTCTTTCTTTTTTTTTTTTTTTTTTTTTTAATCCAGCATTTATGAAAAATAGAAGATCTAAACCACAAATCTGAACGTGAAAGGAATTTTGACACCTCAGAAAACGCAAAATTCCTGAGAAATATTCCAGGCCGCCCTTCCCGGCAAGGACCCGGGAAGTTTTTGTGCTGCAAAGGGGACACGTTTTGCACCAGCAGAACTGACAGGAGGAGCCTGGGGACGAAGCTTAAAAATGACTGTCAGCTTAAACTGGACAAGACACACTCCCGTGGTTCCCTGACAAAGGGGAACGCTTTTCTCATTAGCAATTAAACCCTGTTACTTCTCATTAGCAAGTTAAACAATTGCCTCGCCGCTCATCAGGGTGTTGACAAACAGGTGAGCGGAGCTGCCAAACGCTCCTATAATTGCTCAAGGCTAATGTAGCAGAAGATTAAACTGCCCGAGTCCTGCGGGCTCTTTCCAGGTCATCTCCTATTGTTTCTCCGGGAATTATTTGCAAACAACTCTTTCCACGGCCCGGAAATACAGGTGGAAAATTTTCCTTTCATTGTCCAGCTCTGAACTCCCCGAGTTCTGAGGAACCTGCCTTAAAAAAGTGCTCAAAGGGAAAGCTAATCTTCATTTTGAAACACCAATTCCCCTGTGTCCGGGGCTGAAAATCCTCCCTGATATTAAAGAAGCCCAGGGAACGTTATTTAATGTCATAAATACCGAGCTGTGTTGGAGGGAGGGAGCAACGAGCCTTAAAAGTGAAACTCTGGAAATGCAAGTTCCCTGAATGAGAGAGGAGAAAAAAGGAGAGAAATGCCAAGGTCTGTGAAGCAGAAACACCCCCAACTCCAGAAATAACGTTTTGCAGGGAGTTCACTGAGTTATCAGCTGATTTCATTAATTCCTTTCTCACAGGAAGAGCAATTCTTGCAACAATTGCCCCGGGACACTGGACTGCCACAAACTGTTACAATAGGTTCTTGAAAAGCAGTTGGCCAAACAGTCACAACAATCTTGGCTTAACGTTTGAAGGAGCAGTGAATGGACTCACCCTAAAGCTGGAGGATTTTCAAGGGGTTCAACAGCACCAATTTTGTTGGGTTTATTTTTTTCTCCCTCCCAGCTACGAGATGAAAAAGGGCAGAAACTGAGCATTTCACTGAGAAATGGGGCCACACGTGTTATGGATCAACTCTCTCTGTCTGTGCCAGGTCCTGCCTCCTCTGTGGTTATTCCCTGGAAATTGGGATGTTAAGGGAATGTACTTACGAGAAGGCAAAGGCCACCAAGGCCCCACTGACCACAATGAAGTCCAGGATGTTCCACAGGTCACGGAAGTAGGAGCCGGGGTGGAGTAACAGCCCCAGGTCGATCATCTTGAGAGGAGACACAGGAAAAGGAAGAGTTTTAATAAAACCTGTACCAAATCAACACTGCCAAGGTGCAGGAGAATGTTCTTGAGCAAATGACCCTTCCCAAGGTGGAGATACTTGGCCAAGCTGCTCCTCTCTGAGAGGCACACAGAGCTCTGCCAAAAATGAAGCTCAAGAGTCAAGAAACCAGAACCAAAAGCTCAAGAAAAGAGTCTCCACTGCAACCCAGGGTTCTCTGCACAGACACATATTAATCTGGGGTTTGTTCTGCATCTCTTTTGCAGCTTGTTCTGACAGTAAAACCTACCCCAGGAATAAATCAGGACTTTATTAGGATTGTGCTTCCTGGAAAGTTGCTGCCCCACAGGCTCAGCGAAACCTGTCACCCTACTGAGTCAAGTCAAAAGATAAATCCTCAATTTTTTGAGACGTGACAGAGCAGGAATCAGTGGCTGTTAACATTCCAAAAGCAGAAGGGAAGATTCAGCCATGTCTCAGTGAGGTCTGTCAGCTCCTGTGTCTTTAACCACACACACCAGGCATTTCTTATCCTCTTACACAGCCACAGCTACTAAAGAGATCTTTATTTTCCTCCATAAATTGTGAGATTAAAGAAACCAGGAGAGCCACTGCAGAAGGACATCTGGCTACTTCTGAGAGCTGTTCTCAAGTTAAAGCTTTCCATCATTGCCACCTCTTCAGGGAGTTCTGTCCTGCTCCACCCCTTCTCCAGCATCCCAGAAGCAGATGAATGTCAATTTAAAACAGGAGGTGAATTTTTCTGCTTGGAGAAATTCTTACCTTGATCACCATCTCAAAGGTAAAGACACCTGTAAATATATAATCCAAGTATTTCAGAGCCTAAATGGGAGAGAGAAATGTGTGTTAGGAGGGGCCACACACTGAAATAACACATAAAGAGTAAAACATAGCAATGGTTTATTTGGGTAAATATGATCTGACAGGAGGTTTTCAAATATTTTAGGCTCAAAATTTAAATCTGATTTTAAACAGTTACCTTAAACAGCAACATTTCTCCCAGTCCTTGTCAGACTCCACCCAAGGGTGGCTTCAGTGCACCTGAATTTATGGCAGGTTTATCAGGGGAAAAAGGGTATTTCAAATGGAAATATTGGAATATCCTTTCCTAGAGAGCTTGTTCACCAGCCCCTTTGTGGTAGCTTGGGTTTCTGTTCTCTAGCTGAGGACAGTATTATTAAAGTGAAATACCACATGAGCAAGTAGTAAATCATTATTCTAGCAATGGTTTATTTGCTTTGATGGGTAAATATCATCTGACAGGAGGTTTTCAAATAGTTTAGGCTCAAAATTTAAATCTGATTTTAAACAGCTGACTTAAACAGCAGCATTTCTCCCAGTCCTTGCCAGAGTCCACCCAAGGGTGGCTTCAGTGCACCTGCATTTATGGCAGGTTTATCAAGGGAGAAAGGGTATTTCAAATGGAAATACATGAATATCCTTTCCTAGAGAGCTTGTTCACCAGCCCCTGGGTTTATCTTCTCTGGCTGACAACAACATTATTAAAGACCTCAGGAGAGTAAGAAAGTGATAAAATCCTTCTTGAAAACCTGATTCTACACTTATTAAGGATGAGGAAGAGAGATTTCTCCTTCAGCTCATTATTGATGTGGGGATTCACGGATCTTCCTCTGGAAGAAGCCAGTCCTGGCCAGATTGAGGAGCAGGAGGCCAGGCCAGGCACCTCCTGCCCTGCTGAGCTCTGCTCTGGAGCAGTTCAGCTCCTCAGTCTGTTCAAGGGGTGGGTGAACACAGATTCCTTGGTACACAGCCTGGCAAAGCAACACCAGTTCCTGCAGGTCTCCTAGATTTGACCACAATTCCGTGGGTGGGATGCACCTCTTTGGAGTATCACGGATTTGAACAGAGTGGATGGACAGTAAATCAATACAGATACGAAATCAAAGAATCATCAAGGTTGGAAAAGACCTCCAAGATCATCAAGTGCAACCTTTGACCAAATCCCCCCATGCCAATAACCCACATTGCAAAGTGCCACATTTCCTTGCTTTTTGACCCTTTCCAGGGCTGGTGACCCCACTGTTTCCCTGGGCAGTCTGTCCCCATGCTTGACTACTCTTTCACTGATGAATTTTTTTCCTAAAATCCAACCCAAACCTCCCCTGGCACAGCTGGAAGCCATAAATATCCCATAATATCCACACCCTACAACCATCTACACAGATGAGTCCAAAATTAGGCTTCACCTTGCAATGTCTATACCTAATCTTCAGATCTCTCAACTCCCACTTGTCCACGTAACCACAGCCAGCACTGTGCCAGTGTCCTCATGGGAATGTGCTTTAAATAAGCCACCCAGCTGCTCCATGAACTCTCCTGGGCTTCATGTCCTCGTGTCAAAGGTGTCACACTCACATTTGTGACAGCACCATCTCCAGAAATCCAAACGAGTTTGGTTTGACACCCACAGACAAGTAGATTTGCTATGAATTCTTGGAGATTTCTACCATGCCCCACCAAGATAAAAAAAACACATATCTGGTTTCACTTCCTCAGGTTCTGCTCTAAGCAGGAGACTTTAGGACAATGCCCCATCTCTGGAAGTGTCCAAGGCCAGGTTGGATGGGCCTTGGAGCAATCTGGGATAGTGGAAGGTGACCTTGCCCATGGCAGGGGGTAGAAGGGGATGAGTTTTAAGCTTTTCCCAGCCCAAACCATGCTATGATTCTCTGATTCTGTGTCAGCCCTGGTTGGAGACCAGGGAAGCCTTTCCCACTGCTGAATTGTGTTCCAGCTTTTCAGGCTTCTCCTCACAAGTCACATCAGTGATTTCCAAGTCCTGAAACTCAGATGTGGTTGAAGCAGCAGAAAGGGACAGGAATTGTGAGTATTTTGTCCCAGAATCTGCTGAGCTGGGAGGGACTCACAAGGACCATCGAGTCCAAATCCTGGCCCTGCACAAAACCATCCCCAAGAGTCACACTATGTGCCCCAGAGGATCATCCAAACCCTCCTGGAGCTCTGGCAGCCTTGGGGCTGTGCCCACTGCCCTGGGGAGCCTGGGCAGTGCCAACCACCCTCTGGGGGAAGAACCTTTCCCTGAGATCCAACCTGACCCTGCCCTGACACAGCTCCAGCCATTCCCTGGGTGCTGTCCCTGGTCCCCACAGTGCCCAACCACCCTCTAGGGGAAGAGGGTGGTTTTCTCTGCAACCTCTTTTCTCTGCAACCTCTTTGCAGAGTGGCCCAAGCACATTTGAGGATGTCATCAAAGCCAGCTCTAGTTCTGCACCGTGTCATCCTTTGGAGATGGGAATGTGCCAATCCACGTGCTGGGAGAAGCAGGGCAAGGTTATTCTGGCCACATTGGCTGGTACTCACATCATTCCTGGGTGACTCAGCTTGGACAGGGTCTTCTGCAGCCAGGGCAATGCTGCTGAGGGCGATGACTATCAGGATGACCATCTCGAAGTAGCGCAGGTTGACGATGTAGTGGAAGAGCCGCCGAATCCTGTGGGCAAAACAAGCACAGGGGAGGTTTGGCACAGTGGGATGAGAGGCTGGCACGAGGACAGAGTTCCTCAGGAGCATGATCTTTAGGATTTCCATTACAGTAAGGGTAATAAAATAAAAAACCATGAGCAATGGGTTTAAATTCTACTTTGCAACAAATCTGCAGGGTGAGATTTAAAGTAAGATTTAAACATCCCTGCACTGCTCTCTGCAAGGCAATGAGCATTTATCTCTGTATTTATCTATTTATCTCTCTCTCCATCTGTCAAAAGGGAGCTTCCAAGCCTTCAGACTCGATTCTCCAAATTCCTCAGGAACACCACCTTTAGGATTCCTGTTACAGCAACGGTAACACAATAAAAAACACGAGCATCGGGTTTAAATTCCAGTTTGCAACAGAGCTGTGGTGAGATTTCAAGTTAGAGATTTAAACATCCCTGCACCGCTCTCTGCAAAGCAATGACATCTATTTATCTCTCTGTTTATCTCCCTATTTATCTCTCTATCTATTTATCTCTGTATTTATCTCCCTATTTATCTCCCTACCTACTTATCTATTTATCTCCCTATTTCTCTCTCTCTCCATCTGTCAAAAGGGCATTGAGAGCTTTCAAGCCTTCAGACTTGATTCTACAAATTATGTTTCTCTCCTCCTCCACCCTTCTCCCTCTGAACCCCCAGGTTAACGTCCTGCCAGTTCAAAACAAGGTTTGAAATCCTTTTAATATCAACTAATCCCTTTAAAACTGAGACACAGGCACTCGGAGACTCAGCTGAAACTGCCTTTGTAGCTGAGTATTATTCCTTCCAATCTCTCCCTTGCCAAGTATCTCTGCCTTCACTTCAAGATACCCTTTCTAAGCTGCACAAATACTTTACAGTAATATATTTGATTACTTTACCCTAATCTTTTTATTCACAAATTGTGCCCAAGAAAAGTGACAAATGCTTCAATCTCTGAGCAATCCGAAACTATTCACAAATTTCAGCTAATGGCTCTATCTGACCACAATTCACAAATCCTTAACTGCACACAGAGCTCTACATTTGCACCATATTTGTCAGCTGAATAAAGGACTTGGGTTCTGCCTGGGGATCAAATTATATATTTAACTCCCCAACAACTTTATCTGAGAATGTCTTTCAGTTGCTATATCCTATTTTCTCTAAGCAAATATCTGAAGAGTCAGAATTAACTTCTGTTTTTTCACATCTATTTACACATTCCTTCTCTTTGGATTGCTAATGGATTCAGAATGAAAAAGAGCTACAGATGCTGGGGAAACAGATTTGATAGAAAATAACCTGAAGAAAAGTGCTTTTGTGGATCCCTGAACTCTGGTTATCAATCCAACAGAGGAAGATTATCATCTACATGTAGATTATCATCTACACAAATCCACAGGAGGGAAAGGCACCATTTTCAATAACATTTGTAGCTGTTGTAATGTAATTCTTGCATCAAACCCAATCCATCAAAGAAATAACAAGGCCCTATTTTTAGATCTTCATCATTCACGACCAGCAGCGGGGTGTGGGAGCATTTGTAAACTGCCAGCGGTGCTTGAGGAATCACTTTGCATCCAGGGCTGCTCTGAGGGGCTGGTGCCTCTTGGAAAGTGATGCAGTTTATTTATGCTTCCCTGAACTGTTTTGCCCCCTGGCAGCACCCAGGCCATGCATCCCCAGCAGGGCTTGGATGGGAGATGTCAGCGTTAGAGCAAAGCGTCAACCCCCGGAAAGCAGAAGGACCTCTCTGGAGAACTTAACACCAGCCAAAACACCTCAGGGCATCCAGCTGGGGCTGCATCTTGCCCAGAGCAGGAATAACAAGTTGCTGACATTCCTAGAGTTTGGTCTTTGTCTTGTGGTTCCCCCTTGGCCCTGTGTTATAACATGTTTTCTCTCCCGGTGAACTTGGGTTCTTTCAGTGGTCTCTTAGTGCAGCTTTTGGGGGAGAAAACTGCAGGGCAGCTGAAACAACACAGCACATCCTGGACTGGGGGGCTCAGGAGGTCGTAACTGTAGGCTGAGGTGAGAGGAAATCAGCAAATATATGGTACAAAAAATTCTTGCTGCTTCTCTGTCTGCCCAGCCCACACCTCAGACCCTTCTGGGCTTGGGACCATCTCACTTCCCACTCAGCAGTGCTGCCTTAGCAGACATTTTGCAGCTGAAGGTCATTTCTGGTGGTCACTCCACAATAACAAGACTTGAGTTACCAAATATTAGGGAAATACTATGTCCTTATCCAGCCAGACAAGCTTCATAATCCTAATTTGGCTCCCCAGGGCAGTGGGCACAGCCCCAAGGCTGCCAGAGCTCCAGGAGGGTTTGGACAACACTCTGAGGGACAGGGGGGGATTGTTGTGCAGGGCCAGGGGTTGGATGGATGATCCTGGTGGGTCCCTCCAGCTCAGGATATTGTGTGATTCTATGATTTTATTCATCCTGCCCAGTGTCCAGGGGGGCCAGACCGTGGCTTCCACCACAGATGCTTCTCTGACATCAAATCTGAGCTCGTTTTGTCCCACTGACGGCACAAACAGCCAGGCTGGCACCGTCCTGAGGAGCAGCAGGTGCAGGAGAACTCATTCTTCTCTCAAATCGAGCTGCCAAAAAAAGGCCTGAGTTCTCCTTTGGTGTCTGAGCATAAACCTCAGAGAGAAACTCCAGGCTCTACACCGAGTCTACCTGAGCCAGAGGGCAACAACCACCTCTGCTCCCCGAAGATCTCCAGCTTGGCAGAAGCTTCAAACATCCTAAAAATGACTCACAGCCCTTCGTGCTATGATTATTACAACCCCTGCTGCTCTCCCCTGGTCCTGCAGCCCCCCAGAGTGACACAGGCAGTGTTTACAGGCCCTGAGCACGAAGCTCCCCACGAGGCAGAGCCACCTGGAGCGGAAGGAATGCCGGAATCCCAACGGATCCCACCAGCTGCACTCTCAGCCAGGACAGAGGAAAAACAGGCATGTTTTCCCACAGGTTCAGAGTTTGCACTGATGTGAAGGTACTAGGATGGAAAGAACAGGAATTCCAGCTGAGGAACCTGCAAGAATTTGCTGTCAAAACCAACCTCCCCAACACGCTACTCCTGATACCTTTTCCCAGCAATAGCCCAAAACTCACCCTTTAGTGATCTCTGTGAACAAACTGCCCACCTGAGGGTCAGCAGGGTGGTTTGGATCTGCCTAAAGCATCCTCTTTTCCCAATTTATTTATATTTATTTTTTATAGTTATTTTTATATTTCTTTTTTATATTTATTTTTATTTCTGTTTCTTTTCCCCCGGCAGTTTATTCCCTGTGAAAGCCCAGCTGAACGGCAGCATCCAGCCCACATATTTGATATTATTTAATATCCAAATGTGTTTGACTGGCAGAGATGGAGATAAAAGTGATGTGATTGCTCTGAATAACCAGTTCCTGTCAGCCAAAAGCAGAGTTAGAAGGACTTACGGGTTTGTGGGGCTCAGGATGAACATGGAGCTGTAAGGCAGGATTGGTTTAGGTCCATTTTTCGTCAGGTCATCAACGTCTTTCTTCTCCTCTGTTTTGCTTTCAAACTCCACGTTGTTCACTGACATGGGAATTTGAGGGGAGAGGAAGGAGAGAGTTAAAATTGCATCATCCCCAGTGTCCCCACAGGAGGCTCCTGCAACAGCTGGATATGCAAACAGCGCAGCTGGGAGAGCAAACAGCCTTTGGATATGTTGATTAAATGTGATGAACAATCATTTGATTATTATCCCTGCTACTTACACACAGTTCTGCCCCACAACTGCTGTGCTGATGAGCAGTGGATCACAAGCAGGCAGGAAATGAAGCTGCTCAGTGCAGACACACAAAGAAACCAGGCACTTATTTATCCAAGAGCTGCCAAAGCGGGGATGGAAAACCCTTTTCAAACAGCACAAATTATTAGGGAGAGAGGATCAGCGAGGGATCCTTGGGAAGAGAACAAAAGGCAGGATGTCTGAGCAGCCTCATAATCCTGTGTGTCTTCTGCCCTAGATCAGGAGCAAGATTGGCTTTGGAAGGGGTAGAAGTGCAAATTCATAGATGAGATTTCATAATTTTGGGGCTAAAACTGCTGAACTTCCCAGCATTAGGAAAAGAGACCTGGAAGGGGCTTCCTGCAGCCCCTGATCTGTGCCTGCCTCGTGCAGCTCAGTTTTGTCAGAGCTGTGTAAAGGTGTCGAGTTCCACCTCCCATCAGGCTTTCAACTTCTCCAAGATTGTTCCAAACCTCACTCCCAGAGGTTGAAAACTTTTCAATTTTCATCCTAAGTAGACTTGCAGTGGGTTTGTAGGATAATTTACTGAAGATCATTTCCAATATGTGAACTGAAACATGTTTTATGCTGCAAATACTCTTCTTAGGCAGATATTGAGACTCATCCATTAACTGCCAGGACCTGGAGTCCACAACCTCAACTCCCTTAGAATGTGCCAGGTGCAGGGCTTTTATCACTTTTTATTTTATTCTGCAAGGAAATGACAGTTCCTTGTGTGTGAGTGACATGTTCAATAAACTCCTTATTGTATCTCCAGCCAGATAGTGAGGAAATGGGCAGGACAGATAAACTGTGATTGGCAGAAAGTCAGCATTGCAATATAGTAAAATTATCATTTAAGAGGGAAAAAAAAAGGAGAAAGAAGAAGGAAAAAAAAAAAAGAAAAGACAAGTCTTGTGGTTGACAACACAGGGAAAAAGCTCACAGAGACCCTGCTTTTGGTTGTGCCTCTTGGAAAGCAGAGTCCTGACAGCCTGAAGGCTCAGTTGGACCTCTTGGAGTTCACACTGCAATTTTCCTTGGCATCCCTACTCTCAAGACTTCTCCAGGTTGTTCCTGCTCTGCCAGAGATCAGCCCCAAGCTGGTGGCTGGGGGGCTTCAGGGCACATCATGGGCACAACGGTCTTGGGACCAACTGGAGAACTAAATCTGCACTTACAGACCCAAGGCAAAGAGCTGTGGAGCAGGACAGGCTCAGTCAGATGGGATCTGCTCAAACTGAGGTGCAGAGGGTTGCAGAAAGCTCAGGAATGGCCCAGCCTGCAGGAGCCCAGAGCAGCAGGACCACCAAGGGTGCTGTGGTGGCTGTGAGGCCACGAGGACCTGCTGCTCCACAGTGAGGGAGCCAAGAGGTGGGAATCCATCCTGAGGGCCTGAATGCAATGCCACCACCTCCCCTGGCCTTTGCTGAGGGGCCTGTGGCTGCTCAGCACATCCCATCAGCACATCCCACAGCCCATCCCTGCTGGAGTAGGAGTTCACAGCACAGCAGCAGAGGAAGGGGATAAAGCAGAAGACCTCCTCCTGTGCTCACCTCAGGCTGGGGCTGCTTTGCTGCACCAGCTGCTGATTTTCCTGCCCAGCCCTCAGTTACTACATTTTGCTGGTTTTCTTGCTCCTTCATCTTTCTCTTTTGCAGAACCAGGATGTGCTCTGGGGGAGCCATCTCCAGGGAACCTCACGGGGTATTTTCCAGAGCCACCAGGTGATCCAGGAACCCATCTTGAGTTCTGCAGGCTGCCTGAATTGTAGTTCCTGTATCAACAGGTTCTCCTGTCTGCCTTTTGTGAGGATGCTGGTGGCCAGGAGAGCCACCAGATGATCCAGGAACCTATTTTTGGGTACCTGCAGGCTGCCTGAATTGTAGAATTGCTGGTGGCCAGGAGAGCCACCAGCTGACCCAGGAACCCATTTTTGGGTACCTGCAGGCTGCCTGAATCATAGATCCTGTATCAACAGGTTCTCCTGTCTGCCTTTTGTGAGGATGCTAGTGGTCAGGAGAGCCACCAGCTGACCCAGGAACCCTTCTTGAGTTCCTGCAGGCTGCCTGATTCGTAGTTCCTGTATCAACAGGTTCTCCTGTCTGCCTCTGTGAGGATGCTGGTGACCAGGACAACCACCAGCTGACCCAGGAACCCTCCTTGAGTTCCTGCAGGCTGCCTGAATCATAGATCCTGTATCAACAGGTTCTCCTGTCTGCCTCTTCGAGGATGCACCTGGTGGCCAGGAGAGCCCCAACCACCCAGCGTGTGCTGCCCCCTGTTCAAAAAGTTGTCTCTTTCCTGGCAATTCCCTGGCAGAACAAGCCTGGAGAGCAAGGCACTCACTTGGTATGACAGTGGTCTCCCCCGGGGGGGCCGTGATGGTGACGGGGATGTTCACAGTGGTGGTTTTGTCCAGGGGGGGTTGGATCATCCGCGTCACGTTCTTCTGGTTGTCGGCGTCCTCGGGCTGCTCTGGCACCTTCTGCAGGTACGTGCTGGGCAGGGTGTGCACGGGGACACTCACACTGCCACTGGCCTCCAGCTCAACCTGGTTCTCCCTGAGGCAGAGGAGCAGGGTTTGGTAAATAGGGTAAAGAAGGATTCAGAGAGCACATGTATCTGACCCCACACCTCTGTAACACCTGTGGGTTGGGGTTAGGGTTGGGGTTTCTCCTCTGAAACCTCTGGATTAGGGTTAGGGTTGGGGTTAGGGCTGGGGTTAGGGTTTAATCTCTGAAACCTCTGGGTTAGGGTTGGGTTTAGGCTTTCACCTCCATGAAACCTCTGGGTTGGGGTTAGGGTTGGGGTTAGGGTTTCACCTCTGTGAAACCTCTAGGTT